AAATATGAATAATATATGTTTAGGATCACTAATCAACCTTCTAAAACAAACAAAAGTGCAAAACAACGTTGCAACATTCGATCTGCTTTTTTTAGGGCAAAATATCATTTGATATAATGGGAAAATCTTGATATCTCGTTCAAAAATTCCAAACACGGTATATTATTTTACAACAAGCTATATAAAAAAATATATTGGTCCACATATCGGCTAATATATCGGCCATATCGGGGATTTATCACTCAAAATAGCCAAAAAGCGGTAAATGATATTTAAAGACCATATCGGTTGCGGCAAGCCCTGTAAAAGGATATATCGAGGTATATATCGGGCCATATCGAGGATATTTAAAACAATGACTTAAGTTTATCTTGACTTTACTCAATAAATGTGTATGTGCATGTATAGTAAGGGGATAGTTCTTTGTTTCTATTTTGACTAGAAAAAAATTCATTTCAAATGCCAAATATTCCATGGAGCTTAGCATATAAACTGTAAACCATGATTTTTCTATTTTCGTCTATTACAACCAAATGCCAGTAATTAGGCATATGTCAAAATTCATAATTTTCATGCGTTATATACACTAGGACTTTTCTCCATTTTCATTGGTTTTGAGTTTTGACATGGCAAATTATTATGATTACTCCAAATTCGCGTTATATACACAACTCCAATTTGTATGTTGTAACCTAATGATGATTAATTATGTGTACATTAAAATTCATGATTTTTATAGGTAATAAGCCATAATTGTTGTTCATTTTTGTTCGTTTCGTCCCAAAGGCAATAAGATCTCAAAATTCGCTATAGCCCACACTTTTTGCTTATTTTTGTTCATTTAATTAAGTGGCAATTAAGTATGCGAATTTAAAAATTTACGATTTTCATAGGCTATAAATTAGATATTCTTTAGCCACAATCGCCTTTTTCGACCCAATAACAATTAATTATGCGTACTTAAAAATCGACTATTGTGGATTATATCCTACAGTTTCTGTCCATTTCTATTGATGTCAACCTAAGACAAATAAGCATATGGACTTCTAAATTAATAATTTTCATAGGCTATATCCACGATTTCTGTTCGTTTTGTCTCCTTCGACCCAATGAGAATAGATAGGCATATTTCAAAATACGCAATTTTTATGAGATATAATCCATAGTTGTTTTTCCATTTTCATTTGTTTTGACCTTGTCTGATATTTATCCGTTATCTGATATTTAAAACAATGGCCACGATTTTTTTTCCATTTTTATTTGTTATGATCTTGTAGCAATTAATTATGTGTACTTTAAAATTCGTGATTTTTAGAGGTTGAAACCTATGTTTTTGTCAACTTTTGTTCAACGCAACCCAACAATTAATTATGTGTACTTAAAAATTCAAGATTTTTATGTGTAACAACCTACAAATTTTCCATTTTCTACCATTTCAACCCCATGCTAATAGTTAGGTGTATTTTAAAATTCACAATTTTATATGCTATAACAAATGATATTTCTCCATTTTTATTCATTTCGACCCAATGACAATTAATTATGTGTACATCAAAATTCACGATTTTCATAGTCTATAACTCACAATTTTGGTCAATTTTTACGCATTTCGACCTAATGGCGTATGAAATTCATGTTTTCCATAAGTTATAACAAGAATATTTATGCATTTTGTTTTTTCAACCGAATGGTAATAAGATTTCAAAATTTGCGATTTATGAGATGTAGTCCATGATTTTTACCTACTTTCATTTGGTTCGATGCCATGGTAATCAAGCATGTGATATTTATGATTTTTATGGTCTATAAAGCATGATATTTCGCCATTATCAATCCAATGACAATTAATTATGTCTACTTAAAAAATTATGAGTTTCATGAGTTATATAACCCATGATTTTTATCCATTTTTATTTATCTGACCTAATTTCAACCTAATGACAAATAAGTAATGTGGACTTCTAGATTCATGATTTTAATGGGCTACCCATGATTGTTATCCATTTCCTCTGCTTAGGCCCAATGACAATAGTTATGCATATTTCTAAATTCCTAATTTCATGGGCTATAAGCACGATTCTTGTCCGTTTTTGTTCCTTGCGATCTAGTTGCAATCAATTATGCGTACTTCAAAAATCATGATTTTCATGGGCTATAACCCACATTTATAGCAATTTCGTTCGTTTCAACCTAATGACAAGTAATTATCCATAGTTTAAATTTTATTATTTTCATGGGCTATAACTCACAAATTTTTATTCGTTTTCTTTCATTACGACCCATGCTAATAATAATTAAATGCATGTCAAAATTCATAATTTTCATGTGCAGCCCATGATTTTTCTCCATGTTCATTCATTTTAGCCGAATGACAATTAATTATGTGTACTTCAATATTCACGATTTTTCACATGTTATAACCTACGATTTTTGTCAATTTTCATTCATTTTGACCTTATTGCATATAATTTACGCATACTTCACTATTCACAATTTTCATGGAATACCACCATGATTTTGGTCAATTTTCGCTCGTTTCAACCTAATAACAATTAATTATAAAAATTCATCAGTTTTATGACTTATAGCCCATAATTTTTGTTCGTTATGAACCAATAGCAATACAATTCCAATATTCGTGATTTCATGAGCTATAGACTATGATGCTTTCTTATTTATCACTTGCTTTGATTTAATATCAATAAAGTATGCTTATTTTAAAAAATTACAAATCAATAGGCTATAAACAATGATTTTCAACATTATCATTTGTTTTGATCCAATAATAGTTAACTATGCCTACTTTTAGCGACGTTCATGGGCTATAACTCACGATTTTTGTCCATTTTTATTTATTTTGACCTAATGACAAATAAGTATGTGGGCTTGAAATTTCATAGTTTTAATGGGCTATAACCCATGATTTTTGTCAACTTTCATTTGTTTTGACATTACGGCAATTAATTATGCATACTTCAAACTTCACACTTTTCATGGGCTTTAACCTATATTTTTTGTCAATTTCTGGTCAAATCGATTTTCAAAATTTGTGATTTTGTGCGCTTTTTCGACCCAATGATAATTAAATATGTGAAATTAAAACTTTATAATTTTCATGGACCGAAACCTACAATTTTGTCCATTCTATTTTTTTCAACCTAATGGCAATTAATTTTGCGTACTTAATAAATGAGCGATTTTATTAGGTTATCAGCCAAAATTTTTGTCGATTTTCATTCAGTTCGAACTATTGGCAAATAAGTAAGTAGACTTCAAAATTCACGATTTATATGGGCTATAACCAATGATTTTGTTCTATTTTCATAAGTTTCGACTTAATGCCAAATGTGAGGCATATTTCAAAAGTCATAATTTTCATGGGATATAACACCATGATTTTTGTCCATTTTTGTTTGGTTTGAGGTGAAAATTAATTATGCACACTTTAAAATTCATGATTTTTATGGGCTATAACCCACATTATTTATCAATTTTTATTCTTTTCCACCCGATGACAATTAATAACACGTATTTCAAAATTCACGATTTTCATAGGCAAGAACCTATTATTTTTTTCCATGTTCTTCCATCTCGACCTAATGCTAACAATTTGTTGTATGTAAAATTTCATAATTTTTACATGCTATAACCCATAAAATTTCTCCATTTTCATTCTTTTCAATCTAATGACAAGTAATTATGCGTACTTTAAATTTTGTTATCTTCATAAGCTATAACTCACAATTTTTATCAATTTTGTTTGTTTCAAGGCACTAACAATTAATTATATGTACGTCAAAAATTCACAATTTAATGAGTTATAATCCATATTTTTTTGTTCGTTTTTCTTCGTTTCGACCAAATGGCAATCAAAATTTCAAATTTGTAATTTCATGAGCTACTGTCCATAATTTGCTTACTTTCGATCGTTTCGATCCAATAGCAATTAACTATGCAAATTTAAGAAAATTACAATTTTCATGGCTATAAATGATGATTTGTAGCCATTATCATATGTTTTGACCTAATAACAATTAATTATGCATACTTAAAAAATGGCGACTATCAAGGGTTATAACATATGATTTTTCTCCATTTTTATTCTTTTTGACCTAATGTCAAATAAGTATATGTACTTTAATATACACAAATTTTATGGTCTACAACCCATGATTTTTGTCCATTTCCGTTCACTTTGATCCAATGGCTATCAATTATGCATATTTGAAATTTTGTTATTTCCATGGGATATAACCCTTTTTTTTGTCAATTTCCACCCAAGACAGTAGATTATACACACTTAAGATATCACGATTTCATGGGCTAACCCACGATTTTTTTCAATTTCCTTCTGTTTCGACCCAATGCTCATAATTATGCATATATCAAAATTCATGATAATATACGATTATTCTCCATTTTCATTCGTTTCAATGCAATCTGTCTAAGCCAACATGCTACTTCTAACAAGGAATGACGATAAACCTTTGAAATGGTTGCTATATTGATATGTACTTTAAAATATCAAAGAATGCAGCACTCAAACATTGTCTAATAATTATATGAAAAGTCCTTATGTGCCACTAATACTTGAAATTGTTTAAAGGATCCAAGAACTATAAATCCTCCAAAAACTATGATGAATCGCTTTGTCTATTTATATATGTACAACAATTCTCTTTTGCTATGAAGTTGCTTCCTTCACTGATATTATACATCTAGAAACAAGCCGCTTTATATGAAATCTCAAAGTCTACTTATGATGCATATCTAGAGTAGCATGTTCATTTCTCACATTCCGCCAATTCTTTCATAGCATTTGAGGATGCCCCTAAATGCATACAGATGCTGGGCATTCTACGGAAAACCCCTGGAATTTTCGATAGTTAGCGTAAACTAAACATGTAGAGCACTGTTTATTTCATAATACACTGTGATATACTAAGCTCACTTTCAATTCCCAATCAAAGATATCGAAATCTAGCACATTAGAAACTCACTTTCTCTTTGACGACCTCTCCTCTTCTCAAATTAGCCTCCTGCTTCTGCAAAATGCTAGGGTTAGCTTCCATTTCGTTCACAAACTGCTGTTTCCACTCAAACTGAGACGTAATTATGAGTATCACCAGCAGAATAACAAGAAACAGGGGCTTCGACATTATCACGGGTAGAAATCAAAGATCCTGCCAAAATTTTCCAAAATTAGAAAACCCTAGAGATTGCAACTAAGAGATTACAGGAGAGGAGAAGACTCACGGAGCATTCATTGGATAATTTAGGGTTGAGATACGAGGATGTCGGTGGAATGAAAGAACAAAAAAAAGGTGTGATTTTTTTGGGGAATATTTCGGCTGTCAATGGCCGCCGGTGATTCTTTTGACTTGACTGTGGTTATTTCCCCCACTGTATTCTGTGGCTGGGAGCCATGGGCTTGGGCTAACTAAGCCCACTCAAGCCCATTTAAATAAGCAGATTAGGACAGGGCCCCCCTCGGAAAATTGGTCAGGGCCGATCGACTCGTGGCTTACTTTTACACTAGACTGGTTTCATTTTGGTCGATGGGGGTTGATCAAAACAAAACCAGTTCTAAGGGTCAATTAATCATAGAAAAACTGGGTCAATGCGGGTAGAATTTTATTCAAATATAAATTTATCTAAAAACTATGGTCAAGACCAGACCTAGCCTGATTTTGACAATGCAGAAGTTTGCAAATCAGAGTTCATTGTATTTTTGAGATATCTAAAGAACTAGCATTATATTTTAAATCTCCAAAATCTGTTTTAAAATTAACTAATTTAAGCCTACACAAATTTAACCTTTTATAATTGGTGCATATAATCGGAATATTTCGATATCGGTCTAAGTAATTTACTTACTTTGTATCTACATAAGTGTCTACCATAAAATAGAAAAGACATACATAACAAGTCTAAATCCTATAGGATATATATTTAGCATTTTCTACATTCGTATTCATACCCTACCCAAAATGGGCGTTGGTACATTCCTCAATATCCATTTGTATTTTTTTAACCTATATGATATGCTGGCTTTTAGCTTTTATGGTAAACTAGTATAATACATGTGCTTTGCATGTGAACATACATGTTTTAAATTTTAATTTTTTTAAAAATAGTAAAACTATGTGTTAATAAATAAAATTTTATAATAAGATTGCTTAAAAAAAACATATGAATTAATTATTATTGTATAGTTATTATAATTGAATATTTTTTATAATGATCGCTCGGTATTAAATTTGTTTATAAATAAGCCCCTAAATCTAAAATTGTTCTTAAATAAAACTGTTAATTCTATAATTTCTCTTAAATATGGCCCTCCAACTTGAAAGTTGTTAACTTAAATCTAAATTAATTAAGTTGCATTAATATTGCTAGCTTTTTTCCTAGTGTCGTCGAGATAGTTACACTTGATACATACAACATATTGCAGTAGTTACTTCTCATTATAATTATTTAATAGGGTAAGTTCCACTAAATCCTTGTGAACTTTCAGCCATATAAACTTTCAAAGTTACACTAAACCCCTGATGACTTTTATGTTTCAAAGAAGGCTCATAATAACTTTCTGAATTTTACAGATAACCTTGTAATTTAGACCTAGAAAATGGCATAAAAAGGCTTTTTGAAAGTTATCGGCGGTTTGGTGTAATTTATTTAAAAAATATTGGGGGCACTCTACAAAAGTTATTAGGGGTTTAGTGTGATTTCAAAAGTGCATAGGGTCTATTTACTGCAAAATGTTGAAAGTTCACGAGAGTTTACTACAATTTACCTTTTTAAATATTATAATTCTTAGCTCAAGTAATACTATTAAAATAATTATATTGTATGTATACTATAAAATATTTCTTTAATTTAATTTATTAAATTATGCTATTATATAATTTAGTACTATAAATATTTTATAAATTTTTATTATACTATTGTTAACAATTAATAGTATTATTATTAATATTAAATAGTTTTTTATAAAAAGTTTAGTTTTCAATCATTACCAACTATAAATTATTCAATATAATGTAATAATATTTAAGAAAATACTCTAAAAATAATACTAAATTAATATAATACTACAAAAATAGTGTAATTCGTAATTAATGTGATATTATTAAAATAATTATACTTTATGTGATTCAAAATTTATTCTACTTTTTTTACTGCTCATCGAATTATAGTATATTTTTAATAGTATTTAGTAATATATTATTTTATGTATACTATTATTTTAATTATTTTATCATAATTTATAAATAATTATTATAGTATTTTAATTGATTACTACTATTAATTGTGTATACTTATATTATAAATTATTTTATTTTATTATTTTTAAATAATTAATAGTTATAATATTATTGATAATTATAATTGTTTAGGAAGGTAAGGAGGTGCATAATTAATAAGAGGTTATACTTATTTAATAAAAGATTAATTAGAGATAATGGTATGGTTAGAATTTATTACAATTTAAGAGGGTAAAAAATTAAAAGTTTTAACACCCCACTCCTTATTTTATAGTAGTATATAGATATAGATAGATATAGATATAGATATAGATATAGTTTTGGATGAGTACAAAAGTCATTTATTTGGTCAGATTTATTTTATTTAGATAAGTTTATTAGATAGTTTTTTCAAAAGATAGGAAATTCTAACTCTTAAATTGATCTTAAAGACGAGCTTAAAAGGTAGTTCGACAAAAAAATAAGCTCCCCAAATAATCTCTTAGCCAATTCAATGATTGGATTTGGATCAAACTATAAGGGGGTGTTTGTTTCACCAAAAAATTTGGCATTTGGTATGAGTTATAAGTTTTGGGATAAAAAAGTGAGTTTTTTTTTTTGTATTTTGGGGTTCCATATATAGTGTTCGTTTTAAGAAAATTTTTAGAATATTAAATTTTAAAAATGCAAAAAGTGGCCAATTTTTAGAATTTGCCAAATCCTCTCAATTTGAGAGGATTTTGACAAATCCCATAAAATGGGTGTGCTTACCTCTCAATTGGAGAGGATTTAACAAATCCCAATTTTGTTTTTTGTGGAGCAACCTCACCAAGATAGCATATTCATCATATTACAAAATTTTGGCATTTGATAATGCTACAATTTGAGTTTGAAACAAACAAAATATTATAAATTATAGTATTTTAAATCCCAAAATATTAATAAAACAAATAACATTTTAGAAATCTCAACCTATAACAAAACACCTATGGATATCAAATCCTATGGTGAAATCCATATCCTAAAATTATAGGATTTGAAACAAACACCCCCTAATAGGATAATGCAGGCCAATCTTTAGCAAAGCCCATGAAAGACGCAGTGTATTTCACTGACTATCTTCCCGCCACCTCATCGCTTGTTGGGCTTTTGTTGAAAAAATTACAGGCCCATTATTTTTCTATTATTGCTTATTTCCCATTTTCTGGTTGAAGAAGCAGAGGAGGAAGAGGAAGAAGCAGAATCGAATGGGCAACGCACAATCGCCTCCCGCTGACCCTCGCTTCGCCATGGCCAGCAGGTCAAAAGTCAACTCCCCCCCTCATTTGTTTTCACTCAAGGCTTAAAAGTTACATTTTTTTTTCATTTATTGGGGACAAAATTAGGGCATTCTCGAAGCAGGAGCTGGACGATCTGAAAGCTCTCTTCGATTCCCTCGCCGCTCAATCGCAAAGCAACGCCAAGTTCATCTCTTCCTCCGTTTTCCAAGTAATTCAATCGATTTTACGAAACCCTAGTTCAATTTTACCACCTTTGACTGATTCTTGAAATTGTAGGGGTATTTTGGGATTAAAGGCGTGCTTGGTGTTAGGATGTTTGATTTGTTCACTCAGAAAATACTCTAAAAATAATACTAAATTAATATAATACTACAAAAATAGTGTAATTCGTAATTAATGTGATATTATTAAAATAATTATACTTTATGTGATTCAAAATTTATTCTACTTTTTTTACTGCTCATCGAATTATAGTATATTTTTAATAGTATTTAGTAATATATTATTTTATGTATACTATTATTTTAATTATTTTATCATAATTTATAAATAATTATTATAGTATTTTAATTGATTACTACTATTAATTGTGTATACTTATATTATAAATTATTTTATTTTATTATTTTTAAATAATTAATAGTTATAATATTATTGATAATTATAATTGTTTAGGAAGGTGAGGAGATGCATAAATAATAAGAGGTTATACTTATTTAATAAAAGATTAATTAGAGATAATGGTATGGTTAGAATTTATTACAATTTAAGAGGGTAAAAAATTAAAAGTTTTAACACCCCACTCCTTATTTTATAGTAGTATATAGATATAGATAGATATAGATATAGATATAGATATAGTTTTGGATGAGTACAAAAGTCATTTATTTGGTCAGATTTATTTTATTTAGATAAGTTTATTAGATAGTTTTTTCAAAAGATAGGAAATTCTAACTCTTAAATTGATCTTAAAGACGAGCTTAAAAGGTAGTTCGACAAAAAAATAAGCTCCCCAAATAATCTCTTAGCCAATTCAATGATTGGATTTGGATCAAACTATAAGGGGGTGTTTGTTTCACCAAAAAATTTGGCATTTGGTATGAGTTATAAGTTTTGGGATAAAAAAGTGAGTTTTTTTTTTTGTATTTTGGGGTTCCATATATAGTGTTCGTTTTAAGAAAATTTTTAGAATATTAAATTTTAAAAATGCAAAAAGTGGCCAATTTTTAGAATTTGCCAAATCCTCTCAATTTGAGAGGATTTTGACAAATCCCATAAAATGGGTGTGCTTACCTCTCAATTGGAGAGGATTTAACAAATCCCAATTTTGTTTTTTGTGGAGCAACCTCACCAAGATAGCATATTCATCATATTACAAAATTTTGGCATTTGATAATGCTACAATTTGAGTTTGAAACAAACAAAATATTATAAATTATAGTATTTTAAATCCCAAAATATTAATAAAACAAATAACATTTTAGAAATCTCAACCTATAACAAAACACCTATGGATATCAAATCCTATGGTGAAATCCATATCCTAAAATTATAGGATTTGAAACAAACACCCCCTAATAGGATAATGCAGGCCAATCTTTAGCAAAGCCCATGAAAGACGCAGTGTATTTCACTGACTATCTTCCCGCCACCTCATCGCTTGTTGGGCTTTTGTTGAAAAAATTACAGGCCCATTATTTTTCTATTATTGCTTATTTCCCATTTTCTGGTTGAAGAAGCAGAGGAGGAAGAGGAAGAAGCAGAATCGAATGGGCAACGCACAATCGCCTCCCGCTGACCCTCGCTTCGCCATGGCCAGCAGGTCAAAAGTCAACTCCCCCCCTCATTTGTTTTCACTCAAGGCTTAAAAGTTACATTTTTTTTTCATTTATTGGGGACAAAATTAGGGCATTCTCGAAGCAGGAGCTGGACGATCTGAAAGCTCTCTTCGATTCCCTCGCCGCTCAATCGCAAAGCAACGCCAAGTTCATCTCTTCCTCCGTTTTCCAAGTAATTCAATCGATTTTACGAAACCCTAGTTCAATTTTACCACCTTTGACTGATTCTTGAAATTGTAGGGGTATTTTGGGATTAAAGGCGTGCTTGGTGTTAGGATGTTTGATTTGTTCACTCAGAGTAGAAAGGATGGTAGGCTTACTTATGAGGATTTTGTCATCGCGAAGGTAAATCTGAACTTAATGTTGATTTGGAATGTTTTAATTACAGTAAATATATTGTGGTTTGGGGTGTTTGGTAGGAGATATATGAGAAGGGAACTCGCGACGAGATTGAGGAATTTGTTTATCAGTTGTGTGATATCAATGGCGACGGCATCATAAGCAGGTAGTGAAAATTATGCAGTTGTTAGCAAAGAGTTTTGCACCTTTTTTTTTTAAATCAAATTGAGACTTAGCTTATGATATTGTATAACTTTGCTTTAGAATTATAACTTATGATGATTGTAATATGAAGTTTTGAGTAATGGGAAAGATATAGAATGGGAAACGAACTAGGATATAGAGAAAGCTTTCTTGAAAAGGATGAAAAACAAATTGGTCTTTCATACAATTCATCTATGCCTTGTATTCTCATAAGGAAGGAGTTTAAGAAAGAAAAGAGAAATATTATAAAAGATATGATTTTTTTAAACAAATAATTGGTACTATATGAAATGATTTCTTTTAAGTTGACAATAGACAAAAATTTTGAGGAACAAAAACTTATTTGACATTGATTTGAAATGAATGAAATACACAGAAATCATTATTTATAGCCCATGAAAATTAAGAATTTTGTTGTACACTAATTATTTTCCATTGAATAGAGATAGATGAAAATGGACAATATTGTAGGTTATAATTTATGCAAATCGTGAATTTTGAGGAAAGAAACTTAATTGTATATGGTTAAAACAAACGAAAATGGAAGAAAATCATTTGTTATAGCCAATCAAACTTGCACATTTTGAACTACCCCAACTAATTGTCATGAGGTCGAAACAAACAGAAATGGACAAAACTTGTGGGTAATTGCCTATGAAAATCGTGATTTTTGAAGAAGAAACTTAATAATAAATATGCTAGAACGAACGATGAAAATCATGGGTCATAGGTCATGAAAATTGTGATTTTCGAAGCGCGCCAATTATTTGCCTCTTGGTTAAAAGATGTAAATGAGAAAAATTATATATAAAGTGTGCCATGAAAAATTTCAATTTTTAAGAAAGCTAATTAATTGTCATTGAGTTGAAACAGATGAAAATGAACAAAAAATGTGGGTGAAAAGCCGTGAAAATTATGAATTTTGAAGAAAGAAAACTTAATTTTCATTGGCTCGTAGCGTACGAAAATGGGCAAATTTGTGATTTATAGCCCATTAATGCAAGACAATCGTGGACCCTCAATGTAATGCGATTAGGATTTATTAGAATCTTTCCTTTTCTGGTAGGATTATATTTTATTCTATATATTATTCTTTTTAGTTAGGACTTCTTTAGGATTTGATTATGACATCTCTTTCTATTTTAGCTATGATTTTATTTCATTGCATCTTTTAGTTTTGGTAGGGTTTGATTTGATTAGGATTTTGATTTACTTCCTTACCTGTTAGATTTTTTTAGAAATAAGAAATGTAATCTTCCATGAGGAATAAACATTGATGAATAAAAAAATTGAGTTTGAGAATTCTCTCTTGAGCATGTGAGGTGTTCATTGGCATGTGATTTGCCACTTTGGAGTGTGAAGCCCTTGGATGTGAGGCCCCTATGTGTGAGACCTAGTTATTTATCTAATCTTTCTCCACTTTCAATTCTAACCATCCAATATCAATCTTAAATAAAAAAAAAGTTCATGGATGAACAGTAACCCATCAACTATTCATCTATGGGAATAATGATTTGTTACTCCTCGAGATCCGTCGCCACCTGCCTACGATGATGTCACAGTCCTTTGTGTCCGACTACAAACCCCGACAATGACCTTCATTCGAGTATCGTCGTCACCAAATCTCCTCTGACCGACCCTCAATGAGTTATGATCCCTTACCAGCACGACCTTACAATACAGCTCTAGAAAGTTATTGAAGACTTAAAAATCTACCCGCTTCCCCTTTCAGATCCCATTCAGATTCGGATACTCGCCAAAGTATACAATATTGAGAATCTCGTGCTCTACGAGTGGATCTGGATTGGGGTCGATGGCAATACATTTGGGAGCCCTCTACTTTCGGATCGGAGCCCCTGCCTCGATTCACATTACCCATGAAAAATTGTAAACTTTTAAGTACGCAAATTATTTGTCACTGGGTAAAAAAAAAGGAAAATGGACATAATTGTTGGTTAATGGTTGAGCAAATTGTAAAATTTTGAGGAAAGAAAACTTAATTGGCATTAGGTTAGAACTATAAAAAATGGATAAAAATCATGGGTTATAGCTCATGAAAATAGCCATTTCTGAAGTATGTCAATTAATTATCACTAGGTCAAAATAAATGAAAATAAACAAAAATAAGAGTTACAGCTCATGAAAATTGTGAATAATGAAGTATGCCAATTAATTATCATTAGATTGAAACAGATGAACACGGACAAAAATCTTCGATTTTGAAGAAAGAATACTTAATTGCATTAGGTCAAAACGAACAAAAATGGACAATAATCATGATTTATATAGCCTATGAAGACTGAGAATTTTGAAGTGCGCCAATTAAGTGGTATTGGTTCAAAGCAGATAAAAATGGATAAAAATTGTGAATTTTAGAGTATGACATTTAATTGGCCTCAGGTTGAAACAAATGAGAATGGATAAAAATTGTCGGTTAGCTCATGAAACTCGTGAATTTTGAAGAAAAAATGTGATTGCCATTTGGTCGAAATGAACAAAAATAGACAAAAATCATAGGTCATAATAGCTCATGAGTTCATGAAATTTGTGAATTTTCAATAATGCCAATTATTCAGCATGAGTTGAAAGAGATGAAAATAGACAAAAATTATGGGTTTATAGCTTTTGAAAATCGTGAATTAAAGGGAAAACAACTTGATTGTCATCAAGTCGAAAAGAACACAAATGGACAAAAAACATGGGTATATAGCCTATGAAAATTACAAATTTTGAAGTACGCTAATTATTTTTTATTGGATTGAAACAGACAAAAATAAACAAAATTATCGGCTATAGTCCATAAAATTTCGAATTTTGAAGTACACAAGTTAATTGACATTGGGGGGAAGTCGATGAAAATGGAAAAAATATTTAATATAGCCTATGAAAATCACAAATTTTTAAGAAACCAAATTTAGTTGTATTAGGTCTAAATGAACGAAAATGGGTTAATATCATAGGTTATAGCCAACCAAATTGTGAATTCTAAAGTATCCCAATTAATTGCCATTGGGTTGAAATAGATGAAAATGAACAAATTTTTTGGGTTATAGCCCATATGGATATCATGAAGTTTGAAGAAAAAACTTAATTGTCAATATGTCGAAAAGAACAAAAATGAACAACATCGTGGGTTATGACTCATGAAAATTGTGAATTTTAAAGTTTGTCAATAATTTGCCATTGGGTTGAAAGAGATTTAAACGGAAAAAAATTTGTAGGTTATAGGCTAATAAAAATGTGAATTTTGAGGTACATCAATTAATTGTCATTGAATTGAAAACAATGAAAATAAACAAAAATTGTGGTGAATGCCTAAGAAAATCATGAATTTTGAAGAAAGAAAACTTAATTTCCATTGGCTCGAAGTGAACGAAGATGGGAAAAATTATGATTTATAGTCCATGAAAATTATGCACTTTTAAGCACGCAAATTATTTGCCACTAGGTAGACATAAATAAAAATGGATATAATTGTTGGCTAAAGCGTGAGCAAATTGTAAATTTTAAAGAAAGAAAACTTAATTGTCATTGGGTCGAAACGATAAATGATCAACAAAAATTGTGGGTTATAGGCCCTGAAAATTTTATTTTTTCAAGTATGTTAATTAATTGCTACCGTGTCAAAATAAATGAAAGTAAACAAAATTTGAAGTGCGCCAATTATGTGACAATGGATTGAAACAGATGAAAATGGACAAAAATTATAAATTTTGGAGTTACACCAATTAATTGGCCTTGGGTAGAAACAAATGAAAATGGGCAAAAAATGTGGGTTAACTCATGAAAATCGTGAATTTTGGAGAAAAAAATTTAATTGCCATGTGGTTGAAATAAACGAAAATTGTAGGTTATAATAGCTCATGAATTCATGAAATTTGCGAATTTTGAAGCATGCCACTTGTTTACCATTGGGTTGAAAGAGATGAAAATGAACAGAAATTATGGGTTATAACCCATAAAAATCATGAATTTTAAAGAAAAGCAACTTAATTATCATTAGGTCGAAACGAACACAAATGGACAAAAAAACATGAGCACATAGCTCATAAAAATTACAATTTTTTAAGTACACTAATTATTTATCATTGGATCGAGATAAATATAGACAAAAATATGGGTTGTATTTATTCCATGAAAATTACAAAATTTTAAACTACAATTAATTGCTATTGGGTGGAAACAGATGAAAACAGACAAAACTATTTATTATAGCTCATGAAATCGTGAATTTTTAAGAACAAAACTTAATGGCATTGAGTCAAAATAAACGAAAATGGACCAATATCGTGGGTTATACCCAACCAACTTGCCAATTCTAAAGTAACCCAATTAATTGCAATTGGGTTGAAACTGATGAGAATAAACAAAAATTGGGTTATAGCATGTGAAAATCGTAAATTTTTAAGAAAAAGTTTAGTGGTTAATATGTTGAAATGAACGAAAATCATTATAACTCATGAGAATTGCAAATTTTGAAGTGTGTTAATTATTTTCAATTGGGTTGAGAGAGATGTAAATGGAAAAAATTATAGGTTATAGGCCATGAAAGTTAAAAATGTTGAAGTACGCTAATTAATTGCCATAGAGTTGAAACAGATGAAAATGAACAAAACTATGGGTGAAAGCCCATGGAAATCATGAATTTTAAAGAAAGAAAACTTAATGTTCATTAGCTCGAAGCGAACGAAGATGGGCAAAATCGTTCTTTATAGCCGATGAAAATTGAGAACTTTTAAGTACGCAAATTTAGCATTGGGTAGAAACAAATAAAATTGGACATAATTATTGGTTGTAGCAAATCATGAATTTTGAGGAAATAAATCTTAATTCCTATTGGGTCGAAATGATAAAAATGGATAAAAATCATCGATTATATATAGTTTATGTTAATTAATTGCCACTGGCTCGAAACAAATAAAAATGGACAAAATTGTGGATTATAGCGTATGAAAATTGTTAAATTTGAAGTATAGCAATTAATTGCCCTTATAGCAATTAATTGCCCTTGGGTCAAAACAAATGAAAATGGAGAAACTCGTTTAATATAGACCATCAAAATCGTGAATTATGAAGAAAAAAAGTTAATTGTTATTGGGTGTAAATGAATGAAAATGGACGAAAATCATAGGAGTCAATGAAAATTGCGAATCTTGAAGTACACCAATTATTTGTCATTGGGTTGAAACCGATGAAAATGGATAAAATTGAGGGTTATAGGCCATGAAAATTACGGATTTTAAAGTATGCCAATTAATTGACATTGGCTCGAAACAGATGAAAATGGGTAAAAATTGTGAGTCATAGCTCAATAAAAATGGAGAATTTTGAAGTACGCTAATTGTTTGCCGTTGAGTTGAAAGAGATGAAAATAGACAAAGGTTATAGCCCATGAAAATCATCAAATTTGAGAAAATAAAACTTAATTGTTATTAGGTTGAAATGACCGAAAATGGACAAAAACATTGGTTATAGCATATGAAAATTGCAAATATTGAAGTATGCCAATTAGTTGTCATTGGTCGAAATTGATGAAAACGGACAAAATTTGTGGGTTATAGTCAATTAATTGTCATTCGGTCGAAACATATGAAATGAAAAAAAATGGAAAATCGTGGTTTTATTTAATTGCCTGTTCTAAATAGTATATTTCATTATATCTTATGCATAATTAAATGTTAAGAGGCTGTCTTCAAAAGTACTTGAAAATTTGATGATGATTCTACATCTTATTTTCCATGCAGATTTTATACTATCCTTCCCTCTAAATCTAGCTAAATTTATTCAATGTTACTGGAGTTTTCTGCTACTTGAATTTCACTACACTTCTGGAAAATATTTCCTGTCCATTTTTGTCTCAAACTCATGCATCTCTGCATTTATTTACTACGCTCAGCTAAGTTTATGTTTGAAAATTATCAACTGGCTCGCACCAAAATGTTCTGTTTCATTAAAATATTTAGCATTTTATCAGGATTTAAACCATCTCTACTTACTCATTTGCTAAATCATTGAATGATCTTTCAGGTCTGATTTGGAAGCAGTTATGCATTTCATATATGATACTATATTCTCCCCTGATGGTGCTCAACCTTGCTTGAGCTCCGGTCGGGATACTATGGAAGTATTTCTCAGTGCTGCAACTTTATCCAAGGAAGTTGAAGGAACAGAAAGCCGCATGTCCTTTGTGGATTTTAGGAATTGGTGTAAAATACTGCCATCCGTGGGAAAGTTTCTTGGGAGTTTGTTGATTTCACCAGATTCAGGTATTGTTATTTTTTCTTGGGAGACAAGGCTCTGATCACATTAGTGCTTGGTGCAAATTATTGAAATTATCACTGCAAAAGAATGCTTTCAGAAGGGCCTAGGAATAGAATCAGAATTCCATCAACCCAGTTATATCATTTTTTGTGAACAACAGAACCCACCAAATGGGCAGATTCGTTCCTTGAGCTTGACGTATTGCATGAACTGAATTTGGCTTTACCTCCTTGGCGTCTTATTGAAGAGTTAATCCTATCCAGCTATATTTGCAGCATTTCCTTCCATAATAGCACCCAGTAGTCCAAGAGAAGCTTGGCAGATGAAGTCCAGATACCCTTCAGTAACAGTCAATAAATATTGTTTTTCTTGATGGTCATATTTTCATCTAGGGATGTCCTTTTGGAAGTTAACTTGTATTATGCATTGCAACATGGTACTGTGGCATAACATTTTATAAGATGATCGCAAAATATGCCCTTGTTATCTTACTGATATTTGATGGAGATTTCTGCACTTTAAGCATGAATTAGAGTACCCATTGACTTATCTTTGTTGTAGGTAGACCAGGTTTTCAGGTTCCTTACCTGCACCATCCAGAAAAACTGAGTCATGATTTGCTAAGCTTAAGGAAAGAATACGCCTGGCACATTGGAGGAGCCCTTGCTCAACAAGAGTTGGAGGAATGGAAGCTCTTATACCACAGTGCTATACATGGACTTAGTTTCAACACTTTTATGGCCCATATAACGTGAGCATATTTATTTCCAATAGTTTGTTAGATATGATCATTATAATCCCTTTCAGTATCAGTTTGTGCAATGTGTTATAAATTGGATCGCAGATTTCATTATGAATCTAGATAAATGTAAGTATTATTTACGTTAACATACTGCGATGGCTGCATCTGCAGCGTTCTTAAACAAAGAAGCAGCATTGTTTGGTATAATGTACTGTCATCCTGTTATTATTTACTAAATATAATTTTGGCGTGAAAGTAATTTGAGGACTAAATGGCTCTATGGTTGATGTATATACCAAAAACAGTTTACTATTTTTTTTTCTGTAAGATTAGGAAATGATAGATCGTTTTATCAATTAGGTGTAGGATTACATGTAAATGATGAATCCATTTCACTTACTACTTGAATCATTTGCACACTACTGAATGTAATCCATTTTCCTAATATGTGCAGTAGTGGAGATGGCCCAACCATTCTGGTTATAAAAGATACTGAAGGTTACATATATGGAGGATATGCCTCTCAGCCTTGGGAGAGGCAAAGTGACTTTTATGGTGATATGAAGTCTTTTCTCTTTCAGTTGTATCCCCAGGCATCAATATTCCGGCCTACAGGAGCGAACAATAATTTGCAATGGGTAATTATCTATTTTAAGTTTCCTTCACATGTTATCTGCCCCTCATATCAAAGGAAGATTTGCGTTATTCTCTTCTGGTAATTTACTACAACGTGTTGGAAATAATTTTAGATTTCTGATACTTTGCTTTTGGTAGTGTGCCCTGAATTTCAGCTCAGATAGCATTCCTAATGGTGTTGGCTTCGGTGGCAAAGCAAACCACTTTGGCCTCTTTCTCTCTGCAAACTTTGATCAGGGACACACTTTCGAGTGCACCACCTTCAGCAGTCCTTGTTTGTCCAGGACGAACAAAATAAGGCCTGAGGCAATTGAGTGCTGGGGAATCCAAGTGAAAGGTCTGGAGAATGAACAAAATGATGCTATCAAAGAAACTGTTCTAGAGAGATTCAAAGAGGACAGGAACATGCTCAAGATGGTTGGATTAGCGAATTCAAGCGAGTGATTTTTTACGAACAATGTTGCTGGTAATTTTCACACCACTCTTGAAATTTACTTACACATCACAACTGAAAACCTACTGTCTGTTTGATTTTCAATTTGATTAGCAAGAAGGTTGTAGCTTTTGTCTCCACTTACTGCAGGAGAAGCAGTGCTTCATAATGGCATATATGATGCATGCCTCGGCTTTGAAAACATGCAATATATTGCTGAAGAAACATCAAAAGATGGAGGTTTGCGGTCTCAATTTAAAACAGAGAGCAAGTGTTGTAGATTTTGTAATTATGACTTGGAGTTATGCTTGATCGTACCAGTGTATATCTAAGCTACGAGAAACTGCGAGTGTATTGCCAATCTATTTACCAACTATGGGTGTACATAGCTGATAGGGAGTATTGTTTTTCAAGGCCAGTAACGTTATTCTTTCTAATGTATTATTATGCTTAAGCCGGATTAGTTGATTTATTTGCGGTATGCGCATTGCAAAATTTAGACTGTATCATGCTAGTGTCTCAATGCACAATATGAGAACATAATTTCAGGTTAAGATAAAAGGATAATATTATTAAATGGATAATTTTATTAAGGGTCACCTTCTGTATTATGTTTATTAGTTATTTTTCTAACTTTTTTTTATTAGCAAATACACTCCGTGAGCCTTATAGACACCGAAACCAAGATTTACCTGCAGAAATGTATTAAGTAGTTTAGTAGTTTAGACGTATCATGCAGTAGGTTGCGAATGGTTCCCACAATCTTGGGTTCAACTCCCGGTGGTTTCATTAAAAAAAAAAAGAGGTATCCAGTAGTTTAGAGGTAAACATGAATAACTTTAATAATAGTTCAAAGAGGCGAGGGTCCGACGCCAAGATGTATCGGCAACTATCCCTTTTATTAAGATAAATAATGGAGAACAACAATGTCGTGCCCACGCTAACGTAGAAATTGAACAATTTCATAGTCAGATACTTTTTTTTGATTGACAGTGAAGAATAGGTGAAAACATTGCTAAAGCTATAATGTATATACTCGAATAATTTAATAGTCAAATATGATAGAGAAGAAGAGGTGAAGACATTGCAAAACTTGGAAGTAAAAGCATAAAACGCTTATTCATCAGTTTTTGCGGTAACCGAACTCAAGTACAGATAACATCTCTATCAAGCCTCTTGCTTGAAGAGACCAAATGAATTATTCACAGCAGTAAACCCCCCATCAACCACAAAATTATGCCCACTCACATACTTAGACTCATCACTCCCGAAATAAACTGCAGCCTGCGCTATATCCTCCGCTTTCAACACGGCCCCTCTCTTCAAATTCGCCATCCCACAAATCCAATCCTCAATGCTCCCCCCTTCAGTCTCGAAAAACCCCTTTGACATTGGTGACGCGATCAGGAACGGCGATATACAGTTAACTCTGATCCCGTACTGCCCGAGCTCCGCCGCTGCGTTCTTCGTAACCCCCAGTGCTCCATGTTTCGCTGCCACGTACCCGTAGGGAGCCATTCCTCCGACCACTGTGCACACACTCCCGTTGTTTATGATGCTTCCCTTTGTGCCTGCTGCCACCATCGCACGTGCTGCGTGCTTCGTGCCGAGGAAGACTCCAGTGCAATTGACAGTGATCGCACGTTCGAACTCTGAGAGCTCGGCGTCCATGATTTTATTGCAGGGCTTGTCGATAACACCTGCATGCAGCAGCTACGCTGAGTAAATCCAGAAGAAACAACTGACGCTGGTTATTGTTGAACACGGTACCTGCGTTATTGAACATTATGTCAAGCTTCCCATACTTGGCAAGGGTAAAGTCTACAGCATTCTTGACATCGGATTCATTTGAAACATCACAGTGAACAAAGGTGACATTGTCGTCATAGCTGATGTCAGCACAGAGGGCTCGCCCGAGGTCATCTTTGATATCAGCGATGACCACCTTAGCACCGTGGTGGCAGTAGAGCTTGGCAGTGGCCGCACCAATCCCTGCGGCACCTCCTGTAATTATTGCCACCTTGCCTTCTAATCTGCAAGAACAAAGCCAGAACAGAGGAGGAAGGCTGCATTAGGTAGCTGACAGCCAACATACAACTTAGTCACGTAAGAGTATAAAATAACAATGCTCAACTCTACAACAACTTCAGAGTTTTATGCAATGAGCGAGACTTCAAGACAAAATTGGAGCAATTTAGATACAAATCCAATCATACATGCATTTAAAACATATGTTGTAGTATAAAATAGTCCAGTTTTCGGTCCAAAAAAGGAAAGTACTTAAAGAGATGGGAGCTTTGTGAAATGAATCCTAGAGAAACAATCAAACGAGTATGTCAACAGAGAATTACCTCTTTCCAGAGGCTGGAGAGGGTGCGTTACCATTCGGCAAGGACATTTTTGAGATATGTAAGTAGATAATCTCCTCTATGGTTGTTTGAGCTTTGTTTTGGGATTATCCTATTTATAGAAAGAAATGGAAGTATAGAGCATGTGCTTTGTGGTTGGTAAACTGTTCTATATCATTTTTCAAATTCAAGCTCATTGATTATCACTGCCCCCAAAGTTTGAAGAAGTAGGCGAAGACTTTAGAATTTAAAAATCTTTGCTTACTAAGTTGTCACATGATCCTATCATCAACTTAAACGAAACCTAGAGAAGTCAGAAGCAACTAGCAAAGGTGTTAGTAATTTGGGCACTCATTGAGTAGGGTCTGCAATAAGTACCATGTGCATGCTAATATGAGGTTCTTAAGCCATAACAAACATTATAATATAGTCATTATCCTATAATAAACTCAATGGCAAAACTTGGATGACTGAAGAAAAGGGATTCGTGCATCTGGCATCAAAGACTTCTGGTAAAGACTTTGTTCATAGTCTCATCAGATGTTATTCAAAGGTTATTATCCTATTACATACACAAATTAGATATGATACACAAATATATAGAGTACTTTAACTTATGAAATCAATAATCAATAACCTATACTCCATGATTATGAGATCTTTATCCAAATCCAGTGATACTTTTGCATCATATAATCATAATAAATTTCAAGGGCAAGAAACAAGTGTATAGTTATACAAAGACATGACCTGGATACCGATCCTATAAGACATTAATCCAACTAGCTTTTGCACGGACAAGCTTCACTTTTTTAAAGAACTTATCACTTATATGCATGAAACGAAAGGAAAAGTGGCATAATCACCACAGTAAAGAGCATAATCTGTGAGTGGCCCATGCTGTGAGTGGAAACAAGCATGGGGGGGGGGGGGGGGGGGGGCACAAGTACAATGCCCCTATTCTGCCCATGCACACAGCCTCATACCTCCCATGCTCTCTTAGTTTAGCCCATACTCTCTCTTGCCATAAATAGAGAGGAAGAGAGAAGGGAAAAAGGGTGGGGGAAAAATCTTAAGAGGAGGAAAAGAGAAGAGAGAGGAAGAGAAAACTTGTATAAGTTTGGTTATTTTTCTTCATAGTGAAACCCTCCTCCCGTAGACGTAAGTAAGTTTGCCGAACCACGTAAATGTCGTGTCTGTATTGTCTTAACTGTGAGTTTGTCATTGCTTGTAGGTTCCCTCGATATTTCAGTCCTAGAACTGATGAGAGGAAGAGTGTATATTTCACTTTGTTAAAATATTTTACTTTCTATTCTAGTTTCCTTTGAGAAACAAGAATATGGAGGTTGACTTGTGCTTTTGTGACAACAAAAGTCAGGGCTCTCTCTCAGATGATATCGCTTCCGCGGCGTGAGGACGTGTCTCCGCGTCCAATAATTGGTATCAGAGCCCTTTATTCAGATTGGAGGTGGTAAAATTTCTAATCTAAGGTGGTGCTTGATTATTGTGTGGTGAACACAAGGTATTTGTTGGAATTCCTGAGAAGCGGATTTATTTATACAAGCAGAGAATGACGTCAACAAGTAAAACAGTTAAAGTTAGAAAGTACGAGATCGAAAAGTTTAATGGGAAGAATGATTTCTCCTATTGGAGGATGCAGATGAAAAACTCGTTGATTTCGCAAAAGTTGCACAAAGCTTTGGCGGGAAAAAAGAAGCACAAGGACATGTCTGATGAGGATTGGGAAGAGCTAGATTTGGAAGCACAAGCGTCGATTATCCTATGTCTTGAAAGTGATGTGGCTTTTTTGGTGGATGGAGAGGAAACGACTGCGGGCGTGTGGTTAAAGTTAGAGGGCACCTTCATGACGAAGAGTCTAACGAACCGGATCTATTTAAAATCCAAATTGTACACTTACAAGATGGAGGAAGGCTCGTCAATCCGGGAGTATATCAACAAGTTCGATAGGATCTTATCGGATTTGAAAGACATTGAGGTGACAGTGGAAGACGAGGATCAAACACTTCTACTACTTCTATCTCCGCCGAAGTCTTATGAGAATCTGGTTCAAACACTGATGTTTGTGGGTGATAGTTTGTCTATAGATGAGATTAGAATGACGCTTCTAGCGGATGATATTCGAAAAATTACAACTAGTGATGTGACCACTGGTGGTAACAAAGAACAAGCGCATGGGTTTTTGCAAGGGTAATGAGTGAGGAAAAAGCAAGAGAGGAAAGTCTAGATCAAAATCAAGATCTCTTGCGGAAAGACCGTATTTCAAATGCGGTAAGCTAGGGCATTTCAAAATCAATTGTCCTAATAAGAGAGTAGGTGGGAAGAAAAACAACAATAAGACTGAAAGACGAGAAGGCAAGAAAAATACGAGCCACGCTTCAGGGGAATGGAGCGATAAGAAATGCTATGTCGTCACGAATGATGAGGATACCTCCGGAAAGTGGATACTTGATTCTGATTGCTCTTACCACATGTGTCCAAATAGAAAGTGATTTACTACCTACAGGAGCATTGATGGTGGAACCGTATTGATGGGGAACAACCATGCTTGTAAAACGGTGAGGCTAGGTGATACCAAGATCCAGATGCATGATGGAGTGGTTCGAACCTTGACGGATGTAAGGCACGTTCCCGACTTGCGAAAGAATCTTATCTCAATTGGTGCTTTGGACTCCGGGGGTTGTAAGATTGTAACAGAGAACGGAGCGAAGAGGGTTGTTCGGAGTTCCTCAGTAGCGATGAAGGGCATTCGTCACGGTAACCTATATACTCTCTTGGGTACGACGGTGACGAGAGATGCAGCTGTTGGAACTGATGGAAGTGGTGAGACCTATATAAGCACACACGGTTATGGCATAGGCGGCTTGAGCACATGTCAGAGAAGGGTCTAGCTAAGCTCGGTAAGGATGGTTTGTTGAAGAATTTGAAGAAGCCTTGCATGAATTTTTACGAGGACTGCGTGTATGAAAAGGCACACATGGTCTGATTTCTGACAAGCAATCATAAGAACAGAGGGATACTAGATTATGTGCACACGGATGTTTGGGGTTCGGCTTCGATAATTTCCAAGGGTGGTTCTAGATATTTTGTCTCATTCATAGATGATCATTCGAGATATGCTTGGATTTATTTTCTGAAGTATAAGAATGAGGTATTTGGGACATTTAAAAAGTGGAAGGCGATGGTTGAGAACATGATAAAAAAGAAATTGAAGACATTGAGATGTGATAACGGTACAGAGTATACAGATGGTGCCTTCAAGGAGTTCTGTGATCAGGAGGGGATTACCAGACACTGGACAGTTAGATCTACACCACAGCAAAATAGGATCGCGGAAAGATTAAACCGAACACTGCGGGAGAAAGCAGTGAGTATGCGATCATATGCTGGTTTGGGCAAAGAATGATGGGCAGAGTCAATTGCTACAGTTTGCTATATTATGAATCGATCCCCACATTAGACATTGGACAGTGATACACCCTATCGGGTGTGATCAGTGGAGCATACAGATTACGATAGGCTCCGAATTTTTGGGTGTACCGCCTACTATCACGTCAACGAGAGAAAGCTTGACGCGAGGATCAAGAAGATAATTTGCTTGGGTATGCAAATGGTATAAAAGGCTATTGCTTTTGGTGTACAGAAGATTCAAAGTTCGTGATCAGCAGAGATGTTACCTTTGATGAGAAGTCCAAGATTGCTAGGGTGTCTAGGGATGATGGTGTTGAGACTGTTGGGAATTCTAAGTCTCAGGTTATTGAGATAGAACCTAAAGACCAACCAGGTTCTAGTCGTGTTCAAGTGGGAAATCAGGTAGATGATAAGCTTGAGCAGGAGAATGTTCAACAGGAGAATACACATGCATTACAACAACAGCAGCTCGAGGATAGCTTAGCTTCCACTAGGCCAAAGCGAGCATATAAACAGGAATAGAAGCTGGTGGCTGATCAACCCCTGAAGCACTATGGGCAGGTTAATTTGGTCGAGTACGGAGGAAGATGAGCTGGTCTCCTTCAAGAAAGCTATTCGGGATAGAGATAGCGAGAGCTGGTTGGCTGCGATGGAGGAGGAGATGAAATCTCTCCGAAAGAACCAAACATGGGAGGTGGTCTCATTGCCCGTAGGAAAGAAAGCTATAGGTTATAAGTGGTTGTATAAAAGAAAGGAAGATTCTTCAGAGCTCGGTGGTACGAGATACAAGACGAGGCTAGTGGCTAAGGGTTTGCACAAAGAGAGTGTGTGGATTACAATGAGATATTTTCTCCAGTGGTGAAACACACTTCTATTCGGGTGCTATTGAGTATTGTTGCTCATGGTGATCTTGAGCTGGAACAACTCGATATCAAAACGACCTTCTTACACAGAGACTTGGAGGAAGAAATCTATATGCATCAGCTTAAGGGTTATAAGGTTGAAGATAAGGAGAATCATGTATGTCGCTTAAGAAAATCACTTTATGGATTGAAACAATCTCCTCGACAGTGGTACAAGCGATTTGACTCCTTCATGCTAAGACATGGGTTCTCCAGAAACGATTATGACTGTTGTGTCTATATTCGAAAGCTTCGGGGAGGTGATTATATCTATCTTCTTTTGTATGTGGATGACATGCTTATTGCTTCTAAAAGCAAGATGAAGATAGATAGGCTAAAATCTCAACTTGGTAAAAAGTTCGAGATGAAGGACATGGGCGTTGCAAGGAAAATACTGGGTATGAAGATTAGAGGAGAGCGGTCGAATCAGCGATTGTTCTTGAGTCAGAAGGGTTATATAGAGCGGATGATCGCGAGGTTCGAGATGCAAAGTGTTAAGTCGGTGGATACTCCATTGACTCCACACTTTAGGCTTTCAGACAAACAATCTCCCACTACAACAAAAAAAAGACACACATGGAGCATGTACCTTATGCTAGTGCAGTTGGCAGCTTAATATATGCAATGGTGTGTACACGCCCAGATATTTCATAGGCGGTCAGTGTGGTCAGCAGATTCATGGTGAATCCGGAAAAGATGCATTGGGAAGCAGTAAAGTGGATCTTGAGGTACTTAAAGGGTACCGTTGATACGGGTCTGTGTTTTGATGGAGATACGTGTCAGATTGATGGATTTATTAACTCTGATTATGCGGGCGATCTAGATAGACGACGATCTACTACTGATTATGTATTCAAGATACATGAGGCTCTAGTTAGTTGGCAATTGATGTTACAGGCTATAGTGATACTTTCTACTACAGAGGTCGAGTACATGATCATGACGGAGGGAGTGAAGGAAGCATTGTGGTTGTAGGATCTTCTAGATGATTTGGGGATTGAGCAGGAGAACGCGAACTAGTGGTGCGACAGTCAGAGTGCGATTCACTTGGCGAAGAATCAAGTTCATCATGCTCGTACCAAGCATATCTCAGAGTGCGATTCACTTGGCGAAGAATCAAGTTCATCATGCTCGTACCAAGCATATCGATGTCAGGTATCATTGAATCAAGTTCATCATGCTCGTACCAAGCATATCGATGTCAGGTATCATTTTGTGCGGGATGTCATAGAAGAAGGTAATATTTCTCTCATGAAGGTGCACACGAATGAGAATTCCCCAGGCATGTTAACCAAGATGGTGACAAGCAGTAAGTTTCAGCATTACTTGAACTTGCTTCATATCAGTTCGTGTTGATTTGCCCGTGAGGACATGGCCCTGTAGGATGGTGATGGGGGTGAGGTGGAGACTATGTTGGAGAATAATTATAGAACTACGGTTAGTTTGATTCCGGTGGAGGGTATGTAGGCAGCCGCGGTATAGTGACACAGCTGGTTTGACATGATTTGGTCTTTCATATCACTCTGGTGGTGTTCGTGGGACTTCTTTTGATGTTCGTTCAAAATTTAAGGTTTATCAAATGATGAACGAGATGAAGAATTGTGAGTGGCCCATGCTGTGAGTGGAAACAAGCATGGGGGGGACACAAGTACAATGCCCCTATTCTGCCCATGCTCACAGCCCCATACCTCCCATGCTCTCTTAGTTTAGCCCATACTCTCTCTTGCCTATAAATAGAGAGGAAGTGAGAAGAGAAAAATGGTGGGGGGAAAATCTTGAGAGGAGGAAGAGAGAAGAGAGGAAGAGAGAGCTTGTATAAGTTTGGTATTTTTCTTCATAGTGAAACTCCCTTCCCGTGGACGTAGGCAAGTTTGCCAAACCACGTAAATCTCGTATCTGTATTGTCTTAACTGTGAGTTTGCCATTGTTTGTAGATTCCCTCGACATTTCAGTCCTAGAACTGATGAGAGGAAGAGTGTATATTTCACTTTGTTGAAATATTTCACTTTCTATTCTAGTTTCCTTAGGAAGAGTGTATATTTCACTTTGTTGAAATATTTCACTTTCTATTCTAGTTTCCTTTGAGAAACAAGAATATAGAGGTTGACTTGTCACTTTGTTGAAATATTTCACTTTCTATTCTAGTTTCCTTTGAGAAACAAGAATATAGAGGTTGACTTGTGTTTTTGTGAAAACGAAAGCCAGGGCTATCTCTTAGGTGATATCGCTTCTGCGACGTGAGGACGTGCCTATGCGCCCAACATAATCAGATGGTTGTTCTAAAATTATTAGGAAATCAAACTAGACCACGAGGATAAGATATAGAGAAATTTGTCCTTAGGCCTCTCTTCTTTCTTGATTTCTTTTAGGACTTTGGAACCAACAATTCACCCTATCAATCCTCTTATAGAATGTTGCAAACTGAAAATTTCTATAGTTAATGTCTAAAATTTTGTGAAAGGAAGGAAGTTAGACTGAAAAGTTTCTACATTTAGTGAAAGATTTTGTATCAGGATAAAGAGAGGTTAACAAGGTGAATTATCAATTGGAAAGGCCTAAAAGAAATTGAAAGGTGTATGGTTGCAGAAGAAAATTGTTACCTCATGAAGTTCAAAAAGTAGGAAATTTCCTACCGCGGAGGAGACTGTAATTTTGATACAAGTAAACAATACTAACATGAGATTTAGAGAAAAAAGATACCTGCTGTTCTATTCACCCATTAAGAAACTAACGATCACTGGGAGAAGTTACCAAGCAACTCTTTTCAGAAACTCCAAGTCCTTTATCCTCTTTGTACGTAACTGGCAAATTAAAATTAAACATTATGATTCATAAGACTATTAAAGAATAAGATGGCAAAACAGTAGTTTTTAGGTGTAATTACCTGTTCCACACAGCAACAGAGGCTTCAATCTTCTTTTTGATTGATACCAATATTTCCTTTATCCATTAAAATTTCCTCATACAATCATGAATTGTCAATGCACAAAAAAGCCACACATGTACATGAATGTGATCAATTCAAGCCGATCCAAATATCTGACCAAGGCAACATAAACTTACTTGTGCTAATTTATAAAATATCCAATGATCAAGGGTAAAACAATTCATGGGGCATCCTGTAGCATAAATGACACCATATCAAAGTAATGGCATAATCTCACAATGTCTCAGCAGGACATGTCCTTAAACCTTGGGTTAGCTAGGGCTGTAATTTGAAATTTCATTATGTGATACTCAGCATGTAGCACTAAGATTGTTCTCCTCAAAATGTGAAAGGCAGAACATTTAGCACCTAAATCCATGTATGGCCTGGTATCTTTCTTAACCCTTTCCTCCTCATCACAGCCCTTAATTGCAAAACATTTGCCCATCTACCATTTGCCGCGTAGATATTCGACAACAAAACATAATTACCTGTACTGTGTGGCTCAATTTCAAAAAGCTTCTGTGCAGTAAGCTCTCCAAGCTCACTGTCACAATGTATTCTGCAAGCCCCCAACAATGCCCCCAAAACACCAGCATGTGGCTCCATAGGCATCCTTTGTATAACTTCATCAGCCTCTTTTAAGTGCCCAGCTCTCCCCAAGAGGTCAACCATACATGCATAATGGTCTTGAGACGGTTCAATCATATATTCATTCTTCATCATCTCAAAATAATGCTTCCCTTCTTCAACTAAACCAGCATGGCTACATGCATTAAGAATCACAGTAAAGGCAACACCATCAGGCAAAACCCCTTCTTTAAGCATTCTAGAGAAGAGTCCTACAGCTTTATCTCCGCACCCGTGAAGAGAATAGCCTTGCATCATTGAGCAATACATGAACAAGTCCCTGCTACGCAATGACTCAAACAAATGAGCGGCTCTTTCCATGTTACCACACTTTGCATTCATGTTTATCAATGCAGCGGACACATGGGTTCTCTTGACATCAATCTTGCTTCGTGTGATATATGAGTCCACCCATTTTGCAAATGAGAGGCCACCCAATTGAGAACATGCCGACATCAAACCTACCAAAATGTGTTCATCGGGTTTAATGTTATTACCATACATCTCAAGAAATATCTTTATGGCTTCTGCAGGATGTCCATTTTGAGCATAACCCGATAGAATAGACGACCATGAGAACACATCTCTATGATCCTTTCCTAGTTCAAATATGGACCTCGCAGTTGTCATGTCCCCAATTTTCGCATACCCATCAATCATTGAAGTAAAAGTAACCGAATTCTTCTCGGTCATATCATCAAACAAACTTCTTGCATTGACCATGTCCCGAACCTTCACATACCCATCGATCATCGCATTCCAAGTAACCACATTTCTGATTGGCATTTCATCAAACAGCTTTCTAGCCGAACTCAAATCGCCAAAACTTAAGTACCCAACAAGCATTGAAGTCCAAGACACCACATTGCCATCTGGCATTGCATCAAACACCTTCCGGGCATCATCGAGCTGCCTGCATTTCCCGTAGAAATCGACCAACTTCGCCTGCAGATACACATCAGAATCCAACCCGCAACGGACAATGCAGCAGTGGAGAGAAGACCCAAGCGAGAGATTTCCCGCATCGGAGCAAGATTTGAGCAGAGAAGTGAAAGTATAGCCATCGGGGAGAAGAGGGCAAGTGTTCAGCAAGAGATTGAAGAGAGAGAAAGACTCAGAGAGGGGGGATCCATGATCACAGTGGGCTTTTAGGAGAGCATTGTAGAGATAGAGATTTGGTTCGGAGACGCGATTGAAGACTGAGACGGCGTAGTCGAGAGCAGAGAAGGAGTTGCAGAGGACGAGAAATCGAGAAATGAAGAATGGGTGCTGCTGGAATTGGTTGAGGATGATGTGGGTGTGGATCTCTTTGAGGGATCGAAGAGTCCTGCAGGAGCTCAGCAGAGTGTAGATTGAAGGAAGAGGACGCATTCGCGCGCTTTTTTTTGGTTGTTTCTTGAAGTTTTGGATCTTTGAAGCTATTTCTCGCCACTGGTTTATGTTGACGCTATCAAATCCTCGGTCGGAATCCTTGATTCAAATCTTAACTTTAATAGTTTTTTGAAGGGTTTTTTTTAGATATTAGTTCCTTTCATGTTTAGTAATTACATATTAGTCCCTTACATATTTAAAATTGTATATAGTCCCTCAATCCTATAGGATCTTGCAAAATGACCCCTCTTTTAATTTTTCCAGTTAAAAAGCTAACCAAGGTTTAAGCCAACAACTGCAATCAGCGAACTACCCCTCTCTGTCTAATGTTTCAATTCTTCGTAAAGCTCAGCTTTGAGTTAGGGTTCTCTTCTAACCATCAGCGAAGCAAGTGGGTTTGGGTTTAAACCCATTGAGAAATGAGTTTGAGAACATAATAGAAGGGTAAAACAATCATTTCATCTCCAACAGTTAGACGGAACAATCCCCTCGAATCTAACGCGTGTTAACTAAAAGGACTATTTTGCAAGGTCCTATAAGACTTTTGGAGTATATAAGTATTGCCGTAAACAAAATGAGGATACATAAATGAAAGTTTCATAAACTGTGGGGTATATAGATAGAGGGTATTTAAGTGCAAGAAACAAGTGAAGGGTATTTAGGCGCAATGTAGTTGAGACGCAATGGTGTTTAAATGCGATTAAGCCCAGAACCGACGGCAAGCTGAACAATATATAATACAGGGACATGATAATAAAATTAATTCGGTTGGCCCTCCAATGCGGCAAACTTTCCTCTTTCTTTTTTCATTCCCCCCATTTCAGCTTCCTTCTTACGGATGACACCCCGTCCGCTATCAAACAGTCACCGTTAATAAAAAAAATTCTTTTATAATTATTTTGAAATTAAGACATATTTTTGATGGTGGGGAATATATTCAACGATTTGTAACCTCGTTAGTTTATTTCTTTTCTCCCTTTTCCTTTCAACCAAATAATTTTTCTATCAACTTTGCATCTTAGCCCTCTTGGCTATCGCTGCTATCGATCAACACACCTTCCCCCAATTTTTGTCAGTCTTAATCTATATCCCGAAGATACTCAGTATAATTTGGTTAAAAACTTTATCGATCCAATGCATCTATAATTTTAACCCCTAACAAAACCCGAAGATTGTTTGGTGATAAAATTATCCATATTGGATTACAGTTTTTTAATTATGCCTCATCTTTGGAGGGAAAATGACTTTGAACTGTTTTTATTAAAAAAAAATTATTTTTGAGTCACATTATTTATGTTGGATATTTTTAAAGAAAAGGCAATTTTGCCTTAATAAATTCTAATAAATTTTTGTAATTAAAATATGCAATTAAAATATGTTTTAATGTGTTTTAATTTGTAATTAAAATGGCCATAATGACTATACATTATGACGAACGTTACGAAATTTATTGAGGGATTTTGTAACGGCTCTTTTCAACCCCTATATAAACAACATATGTTGAGCTCAAGAAAAATGAAGAAAAATGTGGAAAACTTATCTTGTTTTCTTTTCTCCTCTACATATCATTTTCATCTATACTTTAGTTTTACTTTATGGGCAACTTCTTCATCTGAGCTGAAGCTCTGCACTCTCGCCCGAGTGCAGAGGCCGGGCCGTTTCCGGGGGTTTTTACCGCTAGGGGAGAAGGGATCATCTGCGCCAGGGCGATAGGCGGGTCCTCAATCTTCTAGGGCAGTGTTTACACGACTGCTCCCGTCAGGCCTGTTTCTCTAATTTATATTATCTATCTTTGATGTATTATTTATTTAATTTCCGGGTTTAAATTCATGCTATAATCTTTATTTATTTGATAAATTTCCAACAATCTAGAAGATTGAGATGTTTATAGCTTTTGATTTAAATCCGGAAAAAATAATTTTTAAAGTTACTGTTCATTTGAGATAGTACTGTTCATCCGAATTAAAAAAAATTATAAAAAAATTTGCTATTACTGTTTGCAATTTAATCAGAATTGTTGCTCATTATAAAATAATTTACTGTTCATAAAAAAACAGATTTTAATTTTATTTAAAAAAAACATTACTGTTCATTTTTAACAGTTTTTAATGTTTTTAAAAAAATTTACTGTTCATTCTTAAAAAATGAAGTTACTGTTTAATTTTAAAAATGATGTTACTGTTCATTTATTTTGAAAACGACACTGTTCATTTTATTTAAAAATTTACTGTTCATGTAAACAGTTTTGGTTATTTAAAAAAAAATTAATAATTAAAAAATTGTAGTTAAATATTTCTGTTAATTCAATTTAACAGTTAATTACATTTGTCTTATAGTTGGTTTATAATCAATAATTATTGTAAGTTACGAATATCAAAGAACCTTTATTGGTTTCTAAAAGCCTAGTTTATATTTGTTAGAATCATCTAAAACCTACCCTTATCCCCTTGTGCTAGTGAATATGCACGCATTTGAAAAATGCTATAAATTTGCAGCAGTGTATATTTTTATTCTTAAAAAAAAATTCATATGCATGGTTTTGACAAGAATAAAGAGAACAAACTCTGGATGCATAGATGCTTTGAAATATCTGGATTGTTTTGTTTATGGTTTAATGCTTTCATTTCTTTAAACTATGAATATGGTACCTTCTATTATTAATAATTCCATACTTTGAAGTGCTTATACATCTAATAAGCTTAGTACAGAAGGTGGTAAAAGTGAATGCAGATTTGTTCAGCAACTTAAGTGGCAGCTGTCTGCAGCAGATGAGTTTGACTCTCAAGACATGAAAATCATGAGGTTCGAACATCAATAGGTAAACCCCTCCTCGGCCTTATCCAACATATGCTTGCAGTATAATTGCTTAGGCAAATCAAATGCTTGCAGAAAATATTTTAAAGTTTTCTGTTACTGTTAAGAAACAAAAAACTCATTGAGTGAACCGATTCAAGTTTTCTTGGATTAGTTGGTGTCTAAGGCAAGGTTTAAGGGTTGCGTAATGCGCTCTGCAAGGAACGAGGTACTTAATTGATCTTTGATCAACCTCTATTACTATCCTTACCTGGCTAACTACCCGGATAAAACTTTAATCTTTTCACTTTAGGAGTTTTTGGTTTGGAATAAGAGGACCGGAATTATGGGAAAAAAAAATTCATATGCATTTATTTAATTACGCTTCTTGCATCATATTTTGCCTAATGATAAATGATCAATATATGAGCGAACCAAATCAAAGAGGTGCATTTTTTAAAATTCTATTTTTATATGGTGGATTATATTTCAAATCTTCAAATGTAAAGTTCATCATTTTTATTGCATTTTGATGAATATTACAATAAATGCTCATATATCTTTTAGATAACTTGCATTTGTTACATGATTAATTACAAGGTTTTATGCAAGAATGCACTTGTAAAATTTAAAGCACCGTATGTACAAATATTATTATTATTATTTGTATAAGAGGTGGTACTAGAAAATAACAGCATAAATTTGGAAGGTCTCCTTTGTAGACAACCAATTTAAATTTGGAAGGTCTCATTTGTAGGCAACCGATTTAAATTTGGACGGTCTCCTTTGTAGGCAACCAATTTGTAACCTCTTATAATAGAATAATTTTAAAAAGAAGAATTTTAAAAATTTTATGCATTTGAATTATGAAGTATGAAATATATTTTAAGCTACGAAAATATTTTTTAAGATACGAAATCCTATTATGCTCTGCATGTATCTATTATTAATTTCATTCATGTATGTGCATATGCATAACTGCAGAATTTTTAGTTCCACATTAGTTTGAAATGTTCAGATATTAAGGTCAATCTCTTCAGACATAGACTATGATCTTTTATGATCATAGATCATGACCTAATGTCAATTTCAAACAATATGATGGACTAATTATAAAATAAGAACTTGATAAATAAATACAACGCCTGCTAGGCAAAATTATGATTCTAGACTTTGTAAAGTCTGTGAAAAGAATCTTGATGACCCTTTGACTAAGGGATTATCCAGGAGTGTGGTTCTGGATTCATCGAGGGAGATGGGGTTAAGCCCATAGATGAGGTCACTGACAGCGGCAACCCAACCCTTATTTGGAGACGTAATCCCAATGTCGGTTCAATGTGGTAGAAACAAGCTGGACTAGTGACACTCGTGTGGAGCATCGACCTAGATATATTTATATATCATTATGTAGCATTTGCTACTACCCCTTCTCTATGATGACGATGCTCTTATGATACAGCTGGCTAGGCTGAGTTTTACTCTTAATAAGTCCAACGCGTGTATTGTGGGGGGTATTAAATAAACAGCTGTAGTACCCTTTGAGGACTTACCTACGTGAGAGGAACCGTGATGGCCGCGGTTAGGGGGGGCTGGGCTAACCCCTAGAAACTCTCATGAGTCGGTTTTTTGTGAGCATGGCCTTTAACGCTCAACCCGCTTTGCTCAATAGATGAAGCGTATTGTGTGTGTTTTCATCAATATCTGATTAAAGGGGCCTAATTCAAGGCCTAGTCCATTATGTCCCTCAGGTGGCGATGAACTCACTAAGGAAAGGTTCAAAGCCGAAAGCTACATTTCCCGAATTCACGATACGATAGGTTGCCCAACCTATTTTCATTTTGTGATTTATTAATTTATTTATTGATTTTTAAGTTTTCAGTCAATATTGCATTTTGGGGGGGACTGTTGGATATTTTTAAAGAAAAGGCAATTTTGCCTTAATAAATTCTAATAAATTTTTGTAATTAAAATATGCAATTAAAATATGTTTTAATGTGTTTTAATTTGTAATTAAAATGGCCATAATGACTATACATTATGACGAACGTTACGAAATTTATTGAGGGATTTTGTAACGGCTCTTTTCAACCCCTATATAAACAACATATGTTGAGCTCAAGAAAAATGAAGAAAAATATGGAAAACTTATCTTGTTTTCTTTTCTCCTCTACATATCATTTTCATCTATACTTTAGTTTTACTTTATGGACAACTTCTTCATCTGAGCTGAAGCTCTGCACTCTCGCCCGAGTGCAGAGGCCGGGCCGTTTCCGGGGGTTTTTACCGCTAGGGGAGAAGGGATCATCTGCGCCAGGGCGATAGGCGGGGCCTCAATCTTCTAGGGCAGTGTTTACACGACTGCTCCCGTCAGGCCTGTTTCTCTAATTTATATTATCTATCTTTGATGTATTATTTATTTAATTTCCGGGTTTAAATTCATGCTATAATCTTTATTTATTTGATAAATTTCCAACAATTTATCTAGTAACAAATAGTTTATGTCTATTCAGAACCCAAAACAGGCATTCTATAAGCAATCATGCATACATAATACTTACAAATACCTCAACCTAATTGCTAGTGTAACTGACATACTCGTTTATTGCTAAGAGAGTAACTTCCATACTAATGCAAAAAATAGCTTTAATTAGGTAAAAATTAACACACCTTAAACTCTACTTCCATCTATAAATTAAGAAGCTTAATTTCCTTCTCTTCTCCATCCAAGTTCTCATTCTCTATAGAGGAAATGGGTATCCTGAAGCCTATTCTCTTTGTTCAGGTCCTTCTCATCTCTCTCTTCTCATCCTCTCACTCTCTACTCCCTAGTCGGCATCATTTTAGACATCACCATCATCCTCATTCCCATATCGTAAATGGCAGCTATCACATAAAACACTTCACTCAAAACTTAGACCATTTTGATTATACCCCTGAGAGTTACAGAACTTTTCAACAAAGATATCTCATCGACACCACGTGTTGGGGTGGCGCAAAGAAAGGATCTCCAATATTTGTGTTCATTGGAGATCAAGAAGATATTCAGCACACTGCGGGGACCAAGGGTTACATGTTTGAGATCAATAAAGTTTTTAAAGCTATGGTGGTCTTCATTGAGGTAAACTATCGAATTTAACTTAACAAAATGTACATAAATGAAAACTTTTGTTCCTGTAGTTGGCTATAGGTCAGAATTTTGGCCTCATCAAAAAATCAATATCCAAAAAATATATAGTCGGAACAATCGAAATATCATTATAGCAACTATGTTAACTTATTAATGTTTTTTTTGGTGTTGTTTAAATTTACAGCATAGGTATTATGGGAAATCAATTCCTTATGGTAGCAAAGAGGTGGCATATAAAAATTCAACCACATTGGGATATTTGAATACAAGACAAGCCCTTGCTGATGTGGCAACATTGGTCACTGATTTGAAGAAGAATGTGAGTGCATTAGACTCTCCTGTGGTGGTATTTGGAAGTGGATATGCAGGAAGTAAGTCACTTCTAATTACTTACCTCTATTGTGGTTAACTTTTTACACTAATTCTTGTCATTTTCTACAATTTATATTACCTGTACCTCTTTATTTTGAATTTATGCAGTTATGGCTACATGGTTCAGATTGAAGTATCCTCATGTGGCTCTTGGAGCCTTGGCTTCATCTGCTCCAATCCTTGACTTTGATAATATGGTTTCTCCTCACAGTTTTACTGACATTATCACAAAAAACATCAAGGTCTCTCCCTCTCTATGTACTACTGATTTTTTTAGAATTTGATTAACTTGTTAAATTTGTTGGTGATTATGAAAATACTATCATTGCATTCCATATATTATCCAAAAAAAAATATAGAATTATAATGCGTGAACATTTCAAATTGAAAATTTCAAAGGAAAAAAGCTTTATCCTATATCCATTTGTCTAACATCTAAGTTCACAATTTCTTTTGCTATCAGTCGGAGAGCGAAAGCTGCTACAAAACTATAAAGAAATCATGGGGTGAATTTGAGAAGATACTCAAACAAAATGGTGGGGGTGATAAGCTATCCAAATCGTTTAAGATATGCGCGTAAGCATTTTCATCCTCACTTTTTTTTACGGCAAATACAAGAATAAAAACAATTTTTAATGCAGTTATCTACTCTTAATTTAATTTTCTTCATACAGTCCTCATCCAATCAAAGATGATCTCCATGACAAATTGTTTGGTCTCATTGAACTCGCTTTGATATATTCTTCGTTATCGGATTATCCATATGAATCCCACATCCACACTCCTCTTCCTCCTTTTCCCGTGAAAAGGGTAAAATGAAAATATATTAAAAAAAATTTCTTTTCCCTCTTCTAGTTTTTGAAACTTTTAAGAACAAAAATTATCGATATTTTTCTTTCTAATTGCAGATGTGTGAGGTTATTGATTATCCTAAAGGAGCTAGAGACACTGCATCAAGAATACTAGGCGCACTAAATATATTCTACAATCACACAGGAAAATCTCCATGTTTCAATCTTACCTCCGAGAGTAAGTCCAGTGGTATCCAAGGATGGAAGTGGCAGGTAATAATTTCCGGAAAAAAAAAAGTTTCACTAAAAAGAAATTGACGAAACAATCTTATTTTCGACATTAATGTAACATAAATTTTCTTTTGCGATGCAGGGATGTACTGAACTGGTTGAGCCATCAATAAAGAACAAGAATGATAGCATTTTCCCTCCTGACTCTAGGCGCACTAAATATATTCTACAATCACACAGGAAAATCTCCATGTTTCAATCTTACCTCCGAGAGTAAGTCCAGTGGTATCCAAGGATGGAAGTGGCAGGTAATAATTTCCGGAAAAAAAAAAGTTTCACTAAAAAGAAATTGACGAAACAATCTTATTTTCGACATTAATGTAACATAAATTTTCTTTTGCGATGCAGGGATGTACTGAACTGGTTGAGCCATCAATAAAGAACAAGAATGATAGCATTTTCCCTCCTGACTACAAGCACCAACACAAGCAAAAAAGCTCTGATTGTCCCAAGGACGTGAAGCCTCGGCCTCATTCTATCACTACAGAGTTTGGTGGTCATGTGAGCCTCCTCTAATTTATGGCAAAATCACAGAAAGCCCCCCTGAGATTTACAGGCATAACAGAAAGAAGTTTTAAAATTAACACTTCCATCCCCTTCTTTTGCAGGATTTTTTTTTTTGAAGCAAAAAAAACAGGGTGAGGTTCCTGTTCATGGTAATGTATATAAAAGCATGAAGAATAATTACATAATTACAGAACAAAAACAAAAAAGTCAGGGGGGATAGGAACCAAAAAGGAGATTTGGACAATATGGAGCGGACCTTGTCGTCACCCATCAAACAAATCTACTAGGTTCCTACTACCCTTAGAACAAAAGTTAGGCTTGTCTAAGAAGTGACAACTGAGTATGAAGATAAATATATAATCATTACAATAAGCTAAAAGTAGTAAAAACTACCACCCTGAACACAAAACTATCCGAAATTGTCCCCTACATCATCTCCCGCTCCACCTTTAATAGAATAAATTTGAGGAGGGTACTAAAGCGATTTAATTTGAATCTCCACCTTTAATAGAAGTACTTCACACAGAATCTAGACCACTTTAATTTCAACCCCCAAAGCTACAAAACTTTCCAACAGCGATACCTGATTAACGATACATATTGGAGAGGAAAGAAGGAAGGATGAGTCCCCAATCTTCTTGTTTTAATTTGGGTCATGGAGACAGTATCAAGGACATTGCAGCGGAAGGCGGTCTCTTATATGACATTGCTCCCACTTTCAATGCTCTGATTGTGTACATTGAGGTAAGACTTTGTTAGTAGGGTAAATTTTACAAATGTATGCCTGAACTTTTTAGGTTTTTGCACAAAAACTTCCATAATTATAAAAAACTCAGGATATGCAAGTAAGGAGCTTCAGCTTTGACTTTCTCAATACAACCAAAATTTACATCAAAAAAATAATTTTTCTCTCTCTCAGAAACTAAACAAAATGTCGACCGAAATTATGGTAGAGAAAGTATTTGGTTTGCTCGAGACGATGCTCCTATTTTCTGCCATATCGGATTATCCAGTCAGTACAAGCATTCATGCCAGTCTCCCAGCACATCCGGTGAAAAAGGTAAAATTTCTCGGAAAACATTTAGCTTCAAAGATTCTAGTCTTCTCAAGGAGTAAAGTTTCTCGCAAAATATCGTGCAGATATGTAACGCCGTTGATCATCCTAAACTTGGTAAAGATACATTATCAAGACTCTATGGTGCCCTGAATTTATTCTACAATAGCACGGGACAAGAAAAATGCTTCAGTATCAAGTCGGACAGTCATAATGGATCTGCTACTCATGGATGGGACTTTCAGGTGAAACTAAAATCCATATGTAAATAATTTTATGACAACTATTTATTTGAATCTAAGTTGTACTTTTGTTGATTATATGCAGGGATGCACAGAATTGATTCAGCCACCGGTAAGAAATTCTAACGACAGCTTATTCCCTCGTACTTATAAGCACAAAACCATAGATAGGGGATGCTCAAAGTTCTCCGGCATCAAGCCTAGGCCTAATTGGATTACCACAGAGTTAAGGGGAAAGCTGCACAAGCTTCAGAAGTGAATGTTGCAAAAGCTATTGGTGAGCATTCAGATTCAGATTCTTCAGGCTATTCATGCCCTGCTTTACCGTCGGTGTGCTATGCGGATTCCACGGAGTGGATGATGGATTCGGGAGCTACATATCACATCTGCCCTAAGAGGGAGTGGTTTTCTAGCTTTGAGGAGCTGGAAAGAGGGGATGTCGTGCTTATGGGTAATGATCACGTATGCCCTATTGGTGGTATTGGTTCAGTCCGGATCAGGATGCATGATGGTGTAGTGAGGGAATTGGGTAATGATCACGTATATCCTATTGGTGGTATTGGTTCAGTCCGGATCAAGATGCATGATGGTGTAGTGAGGGAATTGAAGAAAGTGAGGTTCGTGCCACAGTTGACGAAGAACATCATTTCTCTTGGGACTTTGGAGGCAGCAGGATATCGAGTGATCTTAGAGGATGCTACAGTGAAGATCACGAAGGGTTCTATGGTGGTGATGCGAGGTGTCAGGGAAAACTACCTATACTACTTGAAGGGCAAGACAGTTACAGGGGGTCTGGCAGCTTCTATCACTACAGAGGAGGACACTACCACCTTATGGCACATGAGACTTGGACACACAGGTGATAAGTCCCTACAGTCATTGGCTAAACAGGGGCTATTGAAAGGTGCTAAGACCTGCAAGATGGAGTTGTGTGAGCATTGTGTACTTGGGAAGAAGACTAGAGTGAAGTTCGGCACCGCTGTTCATAACACCCTAGGTACATTGGATTATATTCACACGGACGTTTGGGGTCCTTCCAAGAACACATCTCTTGGTGGCGCCAACTATTTTGTCACTTTCATTGATGATTATTCCAGGAGGAATTGGGTATACCCGATGAAGCATAAACATCAGGTCCTGGATATTTTTGTGGAGTGGAAAAAGAAAGTGGAGCTGCAGACAGGTAGAAATGTGAAGACTCTACGTTCAGATAACGGTGGAGAGTACAAGAGTGATCCATTTCTGCAGTTTTACCGGGATCACGGCATTAGAAGACACTTCACAGTTCGAGAGACACCACAACAGAACGGGGTGGCTGAGAGATTGAACCGTACCTTGCTGGAGAAGGTGCGGTGTATGATGACGCAGAGTGGATTGCCTAGATCCTTTTGGGCCGAGGCGTTGGTTTATGCGAGCCATCTTGTGAACAGGTTGCCGTGCACTGCGATAGACGGGAAGACTCCTTTGGAGCGTTGGTTTGGTTCGGTGGCTAGTGACTACGAGTCGCTTCGGATATTCGGGTGTCCAGCTTATTATCATGTCAGTGATGGTAAATTAAATCCGAGAGCGAGGAAAGCAGTCTTTGTGGGATTTAGAGATGAAGTCAAAGGCTTCAAGTTATGGGATCCACAGGACAAGAAGGTAGTTATTAGCAGAGATGTCACATTTGACGAGGCGTACATGATGAGGCCTCGAACCCCTCAGCAGGTGGAGGGAGACCAGACAGGAGAGATATCGCAGCAGGTGGAGGATGATGTGACTCCACCCACTCCAGAGAACACTGTATCCATTGAGGCTCCTACAGAGGTGACACTGGGAGGAGATGAGATGACAGATGGGCAGATACAGGATACAGTAGATCATGGGACTCAGGAACAGGGTCATGTTCAGAGGACCATTGCAGCAGATAGACCGAGGAGAGAGATTCGTCGGCCAGCTAGGTATAATGATGTCATGGTCGCATCACTTTCATCCCCTTCTATCGCAGGATTTGAGGAGGGTACTGAAGCGGTTTGGCAGCAACATCATCTTCTATAACGGGAAAAGGGATCCGATTAGTGCCGGAGGGTAATTCTACATTTTATTTACTAATTTTTATCTTTATGTGGCATTTTTCAAGTAATTTACTGACATTGTTAATATTTTTTTCGAGCAAACAGTGTTTTGGAGTCTATTTCTAAGAGCATTGTTGCCATTGTTGCACCAGAAGGTAGGACATATTAACCCATATGTTAAAAAATATTTATGCAACTTTGGGTTTATCTAACAAAATAATGAGTTTTACTTGTTTATTTTATTTTTTGAAATATGCGTATATAGGTGCCCATGAAGCAGACCTCCTGTATCCTAAAAAGGAAGATGCAGAATGGCTTGAAAAAGTTAGAAACAAGGAGGTCAAGATTATACAAAAATGGCTTGAAGAGTATTATAACGATGACAATGATAATGATGACAATAATCAAGATGACGACTAATTAAGGCAGCTCGGAGTTAATTTCATCTGAGAGATTACTAGCTTTTGAGTTCTCTTCGTTTTTGTAGTAACGGAATTAACATTTTGTAATACTTTGTCATGAAAATTACACTGATCATGAAATGAACGTTCTTCTTATTTTATTATCTCTACGTGGGTCTATATTTTCTTCATTTGAGTTGGCAAACGTTACGAATTGAGATATTACTCACAAACTCGACGACTTGCCTATACTTTTGCCTAATTTATAAAAATAAAAAAGGGAACTTGTGTGCATTTTGATTTTTTTTAGAGCATTTATCAACTCATTAACTCTTTTGTTAGGGAGATGGAGTATATTTTGCTTTAGTTTGAGTTATTTAACAACATAGTTTATAACCAACTGGTTGTGCTGTTCTGAGGCAAAGTATATGATAAACAGATCCAGAGCATATGATAAACAGATACACTCACCCTAAGTTAGGCTCTAATACCACTTTGTTGCAATGGGAGCTCCACAGACACAGAAGATGTCTATACAAAATGGATAATAGCACTGTACTATGTAATCATAGTAGAGACTGAGAACATCATACAAGGATTTAACGTGGTTCGGTCAATGTGACCTACGTCCACGGGCGAGAACAACAGAAAAATTTACTAATCACAAAAGAGAAGATTACAAAGGAGATCACTCTCTAATCTCACCAGAGAATCACGTAAAGAAAGAAATTAATTCTCTATATAAATTAATTCTTTCTATCCCTCTCTGTCCCGATGTTCCTAACGCCCTCACCATTCCTCCTCATTTATAGCCCTTTAATATAATAAAAAATTGCTAATGGTTAGTGAAAAAGTATTGGAGGCAAGTGAAACAGTGGTTTGTTGGATCAAAATACTATCCTGATTTCTCTTCTCTTCATTCGAAGTCACACTTCACACCAATTGATGTAATTGAAATTGAAAATCAGCCAAGTGAATAAAGGGAGTAACTGAAGAAATTACAGAAACTCAGAAGAATCAGTCAAACCAGGCGGCGGTCGACCGGCTCGGTCGACCGCATTCGTGCACAAGGCTTCCTGTGCGTCTGGTAGGAGGTCGGTCGACCGGCCCGGTCGACCGCAGATGATTCGGTCGACTGGTGCGGTCGACCGACGGTTCTCTGGATTTTTGGGGCTTCTGCTGGATGGTGATCGGTCGACCGGGCCGGTCGACCGGAATTGATCGCGGTCGACCGGGCCGGTCGACCGACGGAAATCCCGATTCGTTTTGTAAGTTCTATATATACCTAAACCTGTTTGTTTAGGGTAGAGGTTGGACGAATTTGAGCAGCCAAAGAGAGAGAATCATTGCATCCAATTGTGAGAGAGCTTTGAGAGATCTAGAGCTTTGTTTTAGGGTTTGGTCTGAGAGATTTGTAACCCTATTTGTATTATCTTGATTTCTAGTAGAAAGAACTCCCCCTTCCTTGCCCCGTGGACGTAGGCAACTTGCCGAACCACGTAAATTGTGTGTTCTTGCTGTGATTGTTGTTTGCATATTGTTTGTGGTTTAGTTCGAGTTATTGTTCGTGTTGCCCAAGAAAGCTTCCGCCGCGCACAACATTATTGTTCGTGTTGCCCTAGAAAGCTTCCGCCGCGCACAACAATTGGTATCAGAGCTAGATCGACAACATGGGAGATGCAAGCACGTCAGGTTCGTCTCTAACAAAGGCGATACAGAGTCTGAGCATCAATAACACGAAGATTGATGTTCCGAAGTTCGATGGCAAGATCAATTTTGGATTGTGGAGGTGTCAGGTGATGGATGCTTTGGATGCACAGAATTTGGAGGAGACTCTTGAGTTAAAAGAGAAACCCGCTGAGTTGGAGGATAAGGTTTGGAGAAAGATGAACAGTAGAGCTTGTGGTGTTATTAGGTCATGCTTGACGCCGGATCTTATTTATGATGTTATGAACGAGACGTCGGCGAAGAAGATGTGGGAAACACTCAATGAGAAATATCTTACGAAGAGCATTGAGAATCGGCTTCACTTGAAGAAGAGATTTTACCAGTTCAAGATGAAGAGAGGGGTTTCCATCAGGGAGCATGTCAACAATTTCACTAAGCTACTTTCAGATATGGCCAATGTTGATATTATAGTTGAGGATGAAGACAAGGCGATGCTACTTCTGTGTTCGTTGCCCGAAGATGATTATGGTACGTTCGTTCTCACTATGATCAATGGAAGAACTACAGTTAGCTACAAGGAGGTGACCTCAGCTTTGGTGAACTATGAGTTGAGGAAGAGTGATGGTGAACCCTCCGAGAAGGCATCGGGAGATGCGTTAGCAGTTCGAGGCCGAGATCCAAACCGTCGTCAGTTTAACCGCTCAAAGTCAAAGAATAGGAGTGCCTATAAGAGTGTTGGTAGAAATCAATGTCGGTATTGTAAAGAAGAAGGACATTGGAAGATTGACTGCCCAAAGTGGAAAGAAAAAGCCGGAAAGAATAAGGGGAAAGCTGCACAAGCTTCAGAAGTGAATGTTGCAAAAGCTATTGGTGAGCATTCAGATTCAGATTCTTCAGGCTATTCATGCCCTGCTTTACCGTCGGTTTGCTATGCGGATTCCACGGAGTGGATGATGGATTCGGGAGCTACATATCACATCTGCCCTAAGAGGGAGTGGTTTTCTAGCTTTGAGGAGCTGGAAAGAGGGGATGTCGTGCTTATGGGTAATGATCACGTATGCCCTATTGGTGGTATTGGTTCAGTCCGGATCAGGATGCATGATGGTGTAGTGAGGGAATTGAAGGAAGTGAGGTTCGTGCCGCAGTTGACGAAGAACATCATTTCTCTTGGGACTTTGGAGGCAGCAGGATATCGAGTGATCTTAGAGGATGCTACAGTGAAGGTCACGAAGGGTTCTATGGTGGTGATGCGAGGTGTCAGGGAAAACTACCTATACTACTTGAAGGGCAAGACAGTTACAGGGGGTCTGGCAGCTTCTATCACTACAGAGGAGGACACTACCACCTTATGGCACATGAGACTTGGACACACAGGAGATAAGTCCCTACAGTCATTGGCTAAACAGGGGCTATTGAAAGGTGCTAAGACCTGCAAGATGGAATTGTGTGAGCATTGTGTACTTGGGAAGAAGACTAGAGTGAAGTTCGGCACCGCTGTTCATAACACCCAAGGTACATTGGATTATATTCACACGGACGTTTGGGGTCCTTCCAAGAACACATCTCTTGGTGGGGCCAACTATTTTGTCACTTTCATTGATGATTATTCCAGGAGGAATTGGGTATACCCGATGAAGCATAAACATCAGGTCCTGGATATTTTTGTGGAGTGGAAAAAGAAAGTGGAGCTGCAGACAGGTAGAAAGGTGAAGACTCTACGTTCAGATAACGGTGGAGAGTACAAGAGTGATCCGTTTCTGCAGTTTTGCCGGGATCACGGCATTAGAAGACACTTCACAGTTCGAGAGACACCGCAACAGAACGGGGTGGCTGAGAGATTGAACCGTACCTTGCTGGAGAAGGTGCGGTGTATGATGACGCAGAGTGGATTGCCTAGATCTTTTTGGGCCGAGGCGTTGGTTTATGCGAGCCATCTTGTGAACAGGTTGCCGTGCACTGCGATAGACGGGAAGACTCCTTTGGAGCGTTGGTTTGGTTCGGTGGCTAGTGACTATGAGTCGCTTCGGATATTCGGGTGTCCAGCTTATTATCATGTCAGTGATGGCAAATTAAATCCGAGAGCGAGGAAAGCAGTCTTTGTGGGATTTAGGGATGGAGTCAAAGGCTTCAAGTTATGGGATCCACAGGACAAGAAGATAGTTATTAGCAGAGATGTCACATTTGACGAGGCGTACATGATGAGGCCTCGAGCCCCTCAGCAGGTGGAGGGAGACCAGACAGGAGAGATATCGCAGCAGGTGGAGGATGATGTGACTCCACCCACTCCAGAGAACACTGTATCCATTGAGGCTCCTACAGAGGTGACACTGGGAGGAGATGAGATGACAGATGGGCAGATACAGGATACAGTAGATCATGGGACTCAGGAACAGGGTCATGTTCAGAGGACCATTGCAGCAGATAGACCGAGGAGAGAGATTCGTCGGCCAGCTAGGTATAATGATGTCATGGTCGCATATGCATTATCAGTGGAGGTCGTTGATGATATGGTTCCAGCCACATTCAGGGAGGCAGAGTCTAGCCCCGATTCGATCAGGTGGAGGGAAGCTATGGAGGAGGAGATGCGGTCTCTTCAGAAGAACGACACTTGGACACTTGCACATCTACCTAAGGGTAAGAAAGCTATTGGTTGCAAGTGGGTATATGCGAAGAAGGAGGGATCTTCTATTGGGGACATTCGGTTCAAAGCCAGATTAGTTGCCAAGGGATATGCACAGCTTGAGGGCATTGATTACAACGAGGTATTTTCACCCGTTGTGAAGCATTCGTCGATTCGGATTTTATTGGCGTTGGTGGCACAGTTGGATTTGGATTTGGTCCAGATGGATGTGAAGACAGCCTTTCTACACGGTGATTTAGATGAGGAGATCTACATGACACAACCACAGGGTTTCAAAGCTGCAGGAAAGGAAAATTTGGTTTGTAAGCTGAAGAAGTCTCTTTATGGTTTGAAGCAGTCACCAAGACAGTGGTATAAGAGATTCGACGGCTTTATGATTGGCCGAGGGTACACGAGGAGCCCATATGACCCATGTGTTTATATGCACAAGCTACAGGATGGTGAGCTCATATATTTGCTTTTATATGTTGATGATATGCTTATTGCTTCCAGGAATTCTTCAGCTATTCGAAAGCTGAAAGAGGAGTTATCATCCGAGTTTGAGATGAAGGATCTTGGAGAGGCAAAGAAGATATTGGGTATGGAGATCGAGCGAGACAGGGTGAAGGGGAAATTGAAGCTTACACAGAAGAGCTACTTGCAGAAGATGTTGAAGAAATTCAGCTTTGATGGCAATGCAAAAGCAGTTAGCACACCATTGGCTCCCCACTTCAAGCTTTCAGCGTTGATGTCACCTGTTTCAGTTGAGGACAGAGATTATATGTCGAAGGTCCCATATGCTAGTGCAGTAGGTAGCTTGATGTATGCGATGGTGTGTACGAGGTCAGATTTGTCACAGGCCGTGAGCATGGTATCGAGATACATGCATGACCCGGGGAAGGGTCACTGGGAGGCCGTGAAGTGGATTCTACGGTATGTTCGAGGCCCCGTGGATGTTGGTTTAGTATTTCAGAAGGATGAGAAGGATGGGCAGGCTTGTATTGGATATGTGGATTCAGATTATGCTGGAGATCTTGACAAACGCCGGTCTACGTCAGGTTATGCTTTTACTTTGGCAGGTGCACCTGTATGTTGGCGTTGCACGCTTCAGTCCACAGTGGCTCTCTCTACTACAGAGGCAGAGTATATGGCAGTTACTGAAGCAATTAAGGAGGCTTTATGGTTGCGTGGATTATTGGAGGACTTGAGGATTGCTCAGGAGACTATTCGGATATATTGTGATAGTATGTCGGCTATCTATTTGGCAAAGAACCAGGTTTATCATGCGCGCACGAAGCACATCGACGTCAGATTCCACTTTGTACGGGACGTCTTGGATGATGGAGATGTCATATTGAAGAAGGTCCACACAAATGACAACCCTGCAGATATGTTGACCAAAGTAGTTTCAGGAGTAAAATTTGGTCATTGTTTGAAGTTGTTGAACATCCTTCAGTGCTGAGGCCGTTGGCGACCATTTGGGTGAACTACGTTCGGCTTGATTCCTTGGGCAAGAGGATACGTAGGCAGTCTTTCAGATGCAGCTGGTTTTGATCAGTTGATTCAGATGGGGGGGAGATCGTGTTCCAGCTCGAGTTTTTTTTTTCCTGGACTTGTTGAGGAACTATTGGATGATTTGGTGTCGGCTCAGTTTTTGGTGGAAACATTCGCCGAGGTGGAGAATTGAAGAAATTACAGAAACTCAGAAGAATCAGTCAAACCAGGCGGCGGTCGACCGGCTCGGTCGACCGCATTCGTGCACAAGGCTTCCTGTGTTTTGTAATCTATAAATACCCTAAACCTGATTTGTTAGGGTAACCTCAAGGACGATTTTGAGCAGCCTCCAAGAGAGAATCATTGCATCTAATTGTAAGAGAGCTTTGAGAGATCTAGAGCCTTGTTTTAGGGTTTGGTCTGAGAGATTTGTAACCCTATTTGTATTCTCTTGATTTCTAGTAGAAAGAACTCCCCCTTCCTTGCCCCGTGGACGTAGGCAACTTGCCGAACCACGTAAATTGTGTGTTCTTGCTGTGATTGTTGTTTGCATATTGTTTGTGGTTTAGTTCGAGTTATTGTTCGTGTTGCCCAAGAAAGCTTCCGCCGCGCACAACAGTAACTTTATTACTTAAAAATTAAATTGGCTTGCATTATTTAGTAGGATTCAGGTACATTACATGAGAGAATCCCCTCATATGTCGTATATTTCTGTTATTCTCTATACAAAATATACCGGAAAGTTTATCACCACATATATAGTTCTGACAAATCAAATTAATTCAAAGACCCACATTCATCAAAATACAAATACGGGGTTGAGTCTTGAAGCAGAGGTGGTGAATATACAAAACTAGAAACTACCCCTCATCAATTAAGTTCGGCTCGAGCCGATACTTTTTTTTTTCCAAAAAAAATTCGAGCCGATACTTTTTTTTTTCCAAAATAAATTTCCACAGAATTAAATGAAATGTATAACAGAGGATATTTCTGATAACAAATTAATGTTTTCACCTCATCAAATTACTCGAAAAAGCTCTTAGGGAGGCAAAAAAACTGCTTTATAAAAGATCAGTGTTGAACCAGTGCCATGCCAACCTAGTGATTCCAAGAAGAATGATGTAGCTATCAAGATAGAATAAAGGTTTTCGGTTTTTTTTCTTTTTCTTTTTCTTTTCCCCTTCAAATTATGAGTCTGTACCAGTATCAGTGTATTTTTGGAACTCAGGATGTGCATCATGTTACCTTTCTTCAGAGGCTACTACTCATTTGACTTTGTCCATTATTTTCAAAACTTCAAGATGGGGACTTAAACCAAAAACATTGCTGATCAGTAATTCTCTAATTCAGTGCTAGCTTTAACCCAACATCGGCTGTTCACAAAAACATCAAGCCATAACTTCATGAAACTGCCGTATCAGTTCACCACCTAAATTCCAATAAAACCTCATAAAATCCAACCGTTAGCAATTTGGCCAGCTCCTCCCGTAAGCCTCGCCTACATAAATCAGCAGGTTTCTTCTCCGTTTTCACCGTTTCAATTCTAAGAGCTTCTCCCTAGACATGGGAGTCTATAGGCCTATCCTCTTACTCCAGTTCTTTCTCCTCATTCTAATCCCTTGCTCGCACGCAGTTTTCAAAAAAGAACCTCAACGGTCTAAAAGGTCCCTCACCGCGAGAAGTACTTCACGCAGAATCTAGACCACTTTAACTTCAACCCGCAAAGCTACAAAACTTTCCAACAGCGATACCTGATTAACGATACATATTGGAGAGGAAAGAAGGATGAGTCCCCAATCTTCGTATTTTTGGGTCATGGAGACGGTATCAAGGACGTTGCAGCCGACGCCGGTCTCTTATATGACATTGCTCCCACGTTCAATGCTCTGATTGTGTACATTGAGGTAAGACTTTGTTAGTAGGGTAAATTTTACAAAAGTATGCCTGAACTGCGAACCGCGACCCCAATCTTCGTGTTTTTGTGTTTTTAGGTTTTTGCACAAAAACTTCCATAATTATAAATCTTAAAAAAAAACCTTGAACCGCGAAATGTGCAATCTTAGAAACCCCCTTACTTTTTAACAACCCTTACCCACAAAAGAGTAACATAGAGGGTAACAGGCATGTTTGGCCTCCTTAAACGGGTCCGAGACTGGTCCTAGCACCATTTTGAGAAGAACCTTGTCTGGGAAAAACTCGGACGGTATTGACCCAATTTTCACTAGGCCAAAAAAAGCCCGCCTAAAACCGGTTTTGTTTTGATCCTCCTCTCCCGGGATCAAAACTGAACAAGTTTTTCTCAAAAAACTGGTTTGGATTAATTCTGGACCAGCTTTGAGGCGTTTGCCAAACTTACCCAAATTATTCAGAAGTCATGTGACAACTTAAAAGATTTATGCCAGTGTGTGTGGGTGAGTGGAGTGGGGGGTGGGAGGTGTGCAAAAGTCCCCAAGAGGATTTTGTGAAATTTACCCCTACTAGTATTTCTCAAGGAAAAAAAGAGACTAATTGGCTAAGTATTGAAATTTGCAGCATAGGTATTTTGGGAAGTCAATTCCCTTTGGCAGTTTAAAGCATGCCTATAAAAATGCAAGTACACTCGGATACCTGAGCGCATCACAAGCACTTGCAGACACAGCAGTATTGATCAGATCACTAAAGGCGAATCTAAGCACTACAGGATCGCCCGTCGTGGTATTTGGGGGTTCCTATGGAGGAAGTAAAAAAAAATTTAAAACCTTTAATATCTATTAGAATTTTTCGATGAATATATTTTATCACTTACATTTATCGTTCTTTGACGACTTGTAGTATTGGCAACATGGTTTAGATTGAAGTATCCGCATGTAGCTCTTGGAGCCTTGGCCTCATCTGCTCCAGTTCTATTATTTGATAACCTTGTTTCTCCCTACAAAATAACAGATATCGTCACCCAAGATTATAAGGTACTTATACAATTCCTTTTGCAATTTTTTTGGAGAATTCTTTTTGAAATTTAAATACATAATATAGACTGTCGATAACCATCTTTACTGATACCAGAGTGTGAGCAAAAGCTGTTACAGTACAATCAAGAACTCGTGGGAAGAGATAAAGAAAACTGGTCGCAGAAAAGGAGGGAGAGATCAGCTAACTAAAAAACTCAGGATATGCAAGTAAGGAGCTTCAGTTTTGACTTTCTCAATTCAACCAAAATTTACATCAAAAATAATAATTTTTCTCTCTCAGAAACAAAATGTCGACTGAAATTATCGTAGAGAAAGTATTTGGTTTGCTCGAGACGATGCTCCTATTTTCTGCCATATCGGATTATCCAGTCAGTACAAGCATTCATGCCAGTCTCCCAGCACATCCGGTGAAAAAGGTAAAATTTCTCGGAAAACATTTAGCTTCAAAGATTCTAGTTTTCTCAAGGAGTGAAGTTTCTCGCAAAATATTGTGCAGATATGTAACGCCATTGATCATCCTAAACTTGGTAAAGATACATTATCAAGACTCTATGGTGCCATGAATTTATTCTACAATAGCACGGGACAAGAAAAATGCCTCAGTATCAAGTCGGACAGTCAAAATGGATCTGCTACTTATGGATGGGACTTTCAGGTGAAACTAAAATCCATATGTAAATAATTTTATATATGACAACTATTTATTTGAATCTAAGTTGTACTTTTGTTGATTATATATGCAGGGATGCACAGAATTGATTCAGCCACCGGTTAGAAATTCTATCGACAGCTTATTCCTCGTTCGTATAAGCACAAAACCATTGATAGGGGATGCTCAAAGTTCTCCGGCATCAAGCCTAGGCCTAATTGGATTACCACAGAGTTCGGTGGCCAGGTGAGTATATTTTATTTTAATTTAATTTATTTTATTTTTTTATATACTCTTTTACAACTCTTATAATTTTTCTGATTTCTCCTTGATTATAGGATTTTAAGAAAGTTTTGAAGAAATTTGGTAGCAACATCATCTTCTCCAATGGACTAAGGGATCCGCTCAGTGCTGGAAGGTAACTGAACTCAAATATAGGTTCTATAAATTAAAGAAATGAAAATTTGTTAATTTTCTGATATGGTTTTTTTTAAACAGTATTGTTAAATCAATTTCGAAGAGCATCGTAGCAGTAACGATGGAAGAAGGAGCGCATAACGGAGATCTCTTCTTCGCTACGAAGGAAGATCCAGAATGGCTTCAGAATGCCAGAAAGAGAGAGATGAAGATCATAAAGAGGTGGCTCGAACAGTAGTACTACATCGATGCTGCCAGTTTGTAACAGTCATTGTATTTTGATCTTCTAAAATTTGAACCTCGGGGGTTCTTTTTCCCATCTTTTTCTTCCAAGGGAATAATAGAAATTTCAAGTGTTATGGTGACATTAAGATGGCCATGTTATTGTTTACTTTCATTCGT